TAGAAACGCTCTTTAGAGGAAGAACTACAAAAGTAGACGCAACTAATAGAGTACTAATTATGTTAGAACTAAGTCTATTTACTACTGTCTTTTTCTAGATTCTAACAATACTAGGTTAGAAAGTTCTAGTAAAGAAGATTACACTTATCTATGTAAAGAGCATTATACTTTAACTATTTTATTAATAATAATCTTTTCTGTTTAACTGTAATCTCTACCTGTTTAGCACTGTCCTTGTTATAAAAGGTAACTATATGCTGTCCTAGTAAATGCACTGCTAATTAAATAATAAAAGGCTTTTTTTTATAAACCTTAAACTTTATTAATTGCTAAACAGCCTTAGTTAGTCTAATATAGCGCATGTTTAGATACTAGGCAACCTTGTCTTTTTACTAGATACAGATAACAACCTAATTAGTGCCTTTATAGATATACTTATGTATATATTTAACTAACTTTACAGAGGCACAGACCTCTATGTTAACATGTGTGTTGTACTTATGTAAAAGGTATAGACTGTAAGGCACTACTTAGTAATTATTAACTATAATGTTTTAACTATAACACTTTACAACCTAAGTTAAACTAGGTTAACGCTAATATATAAAATAACTGTCTCTACTAACTAGAGTCTTATTAGTGTATTCCTTTAGGAATTGCTTCTAACAGGTTGCTTAGAGAGAACGCTCTGTAGTCTGCATATAGGGCATGCTAGGATTTAAAGTTCTACATAGCCTATAAACTATAGTAGTTTTAATAATGTTACTTAGAACTTTATCTAGATCTTAAGCCTTTATAGGGAGCTTAGCCTATATAACTTAATTAATAAAGTTTAGATTAAGGAACTAATTATAGTAATTATAATGTAGGAAGAGTAGAATGTAAGCATAAGGTAAACCCTGCTTCTAGTACTTAATAGTATACATAATACTAGTATACTAGCTAAATACATAGTTAGTCTAGAGGTCTGTAAGGAGGGAGTTAAGACGCAGCTTAAAAACGCGTGTGACTAGATCTAGCTAATCTAATAGCTAAAAGGATGTACTAATCTCCTGCTCTAACTCTAGCTATTTAGGATTAGTAGTAAAAGTAATAAATAAAGTAGGTTAACTAAGCTTTTAAATAATAGCTATAGAGTCTTAATAACACTGTGTAATAAAGTAACTGCTGCTAATGTAACTTAAAGGAAGAATAGTCTAAATCTTAACTAAATTAGCCTAAAAGTTGTCTTAATCTAATGCATTACGCACTCCTTAATATAGATTAGCACGTAACTGTCTCTAATTTGCTGCAATCTACTGTAACTTTCTTTGTTTACACTAAGCTTAGCAGTTAACAACAAATTACTAAAATAATAGACTATAATTAAAAGGCATAATAAGACTGCTACGCTAGGGAAATAGGTAGAATTAGTAATACTTAGAATTAGTTAGAGTATCCTAGGTGCGAGACATGCGTGAAGTACATAGCTGTAAACTATAGTAAAACCTAAGAGTACCCTATAGGAACATTAAAACGTAGTGGAGAGGCTAATATACTGCATGTGTATGTTTAATCTTTTAGTATAGAGACTAATAGTGTTTTAGATTAGGGCTAGGTTAGTAGTAAAAAATAAAATCTTAGTTATAATTCTTAACTAGCTTATTACAAACTAGAGCAGTAATCTCTTTAGTAACAGGCAAGTTCTCTTAATGTTAATTAGCCCTAGCCTGCATAATTAACTGCAGTTGTAGATTAAGAGTAATTTATAATTCTTTATCTTGCTTATAAGCTTACTGCAACTGCTTATATGTAGTTTTGTACATCTTAATCTAAGGATTGTTATAATCTGTCTTAACTATCTGTAGCAGCTGCGTGAGTATAGTTAGATTAAGACCACTATTAGCCTAATGCCCTATACGCGCACTGTTGGCCTAGGCAGGATTGTAAAAGTACAGCTGTGCGTAGGAGGGGACGTCCCCCTTAGCAGGCTCTAATAGGCTGTGCATATAGTACATCTCCTCTATAATCTAAAAAACCTTTACGCCTATGCTACGCGCACCCTAATCTATTTGTTTGTAGTTAGCTAATGTAAAAGCTAAGGCTGCGTTGTATAATTAAAGATGCTTTTAAAAGGATCTGCTAAGTAGGTGCCTACCCTGCAAAAGATAACACAGAAATAGAGGTAGATCTAGAAAGGTTAAAAAGTTAATATTACTTATTAGGCAACATATAGAGTACTAAGAAGAATCTGCTTAACTCTTGTTAACCTGCTCTTTAGGCTAGTAAAAGGCACTGTAGTTAGGACAGCTGCTTATAGGATTCTGCATTAGACTAAAGTTAATAAGAGTAATATAGTCTATAGTAGTAATAATATATGCCTTTAGCAAATTATCTTGTAAGAGACTAGCCCTTAGTTGCTTCTAATCTCTACGCATAGATAGGGATAGAGCAGGCTAATCTAGAGTGTGTTAAGAAGGTGAAGATTAAACAGGTCTTTGTAAAGTTAGCTATATATTATAATAATGTATACATATAGACAGTGTAGGAGGAGTGGAAGTTAGCGTAAAGGACTTAGGAGGGGTTAATTATATATTACAATAGATCTAGACAGATAGTGTAGGAGGAGTAGAGAAGGGCGTAAAAGTCTTAAAAGGGTATTAATATATATAAAATAATTAATTAAGCACTAGCATTCTGCTTAATGCAGTGTTACGCCTAGCATGTGCAGGTTAGCCCTAGCATAGACCTAATTAGACTGTAGTAGCGCGAGCTTAAATGTGTTTTAAGGGTTGTGCATTAGAGTTAACATTAGCTAATAGCTAACACGCCTAGATAGAACTAGATATAAGCGCTAAAGAATATAATAATTATAATAAAGTAATATACTGTACAGCTATGTTTGTTGCACTAGTAATAGGGAGCTCTAACTTTATTAGTAGGGAAGTTAGAGAGGGGTCTGTAGTTATTATAGACTAAGCAGAAAGTAGGTAATAAGTCTATATAGTAATAATATAAAGAGATAACACTGTATAATAAGAAAGGGAGAACAGGTTAAGAGAGAAAGGTACTAATTAAAAAAAGTTAAAGCAGATTAGGGATAGATTAACTTTAAGTAGATTAGAATTCTACCTATTAAAATAAGGCGTAGTAAGGCCTATGCTACACTAAATAAATTTGTTCCTTTAGGGTCTTTAGAAGTATAACCCTTTTTAAAACAGTGTCCTTATTAAGTTTAGGAAAGGACTTAATTAGGCTAGAAACCTCTAAAAAAAAATTCTGCATAAAAAAAAATTTAAGCTATCTAAACTTATTATCCTAAGCAATAAAACGCCTCTAAGCCCTTACCCCCTATGTAATAGTTTGTAGTATGTAAATATGCTCTTAATTTTAATATAATTAGTATAGCTTTATAGCTTAAAGAAAAGAGGAAATAGTTAAAAGTGTTTTACATTAGGCTAATATTATGTTAGGTGTAATCTTAAGGCCTTTACAATTCTTTGTAGAGGTTAGTAGATAATGTAGGATAACCTAATACACTTATGTACATTGCAGATAGCTATAATACAGTAGCTTACTATAACTTATTGTTGTTATAAAGTAAAGTTAACTAAGGCTGCAAAGGTATTAAAGCAGATAATGTTTAGTTAAGAAAGATTAGAACAGGTTAGAGCAGATGTAGAGCTAAAGCCTAAAGTTGCACTACTGTTTTGCTTAACTAGGGGGAGATTCTCTAGAACCCTCTTTTTGCCTACAGCAGGCTTTGCTTAGAAGGTCTTAGCAGAGCTAATTACATTTAGTAGGAAAAATTACACTGTAGAAGTAATTTTTACACCCCTAACTGTGCAGTAGTTAATTACAATAGGAAAAAAAGAAGACTAGATTAAGCATGTAGCATAGTAGAATAATTACTTAAAGCTTAAAAACAAACAGTAACGCAGCTTTTTAGTTACTAATTTTCTACTAATTAAATTAATAGCCGGCTTATATCCGGACCAATAGGAGAGAGGGCTTGGCGGTAGAGATAGTGTAATATTTGATGATGCGGCACTCTAGTTAAAACAGCTAATATTATAGGTCTCTAGAGACGCAGGATTAAGGTCTAATTAACTATAAGATAACTAATTCTCCTCTAGATGCCTCCTATGGGTGCTGCAGTGGCCGCACGATATTAGGCAAGAGCTCTCTATCAACGCTAACCTTATGCTCCCTTACGTCCACCGCTGCAGCCTACAAGACTAGTGCCTAATTAACTAGATAGGGCCTGTAAGGCAGCAAGGCGCCTAGATAGATAACTCTATAATAGAAATAGTTGGTAATATTAAATTTTAAGACAACAGACAACAGACTGGAGATAGATAAATTAAAACACTTAGAAAGAGATCTAAGCGTCTGGTAAAAACTTTTAGGTAATTAGAACTCTAGAAACCCCCCTGAACACTCCCTAAAGGCCTTCTGCTTACTAGCCTACCTACTCCTCTAGAATCACTATACAAACTTCCTAAGAGGGTAATACAATCTGTACAACTCACAGTACCTAGGGCATTACTAAACGTACGGTGCAGCTCACGAACTCAGTACGTTCATACTGAACACGTGCCCGTTACAGTTCACTTTGTACGGACCGTAGTACAGCCCGTTGGAAGCCCTGGACTGGAGAAAACTGCGGGTTTCAGTTAGAACAGGTGACTAGGGAAAAAATTTGAATTGAATTGAATTTCAGTGATGGAGATCCGCGTAAAACTTAATATCATGGGTAAATGGTGATGAAACTCATGTCCACCAAGAGCACACGCTGCCTACTCACCACCTCGAGCAAAGAAACGCGACAAATTCATTTAGAATATCCCACAAGCACAATTTCCAGGAAAACAGGTAGTAGCGCCACAGTGTGGAGGGAGTCTCTGTAAAAGACTTCACTGGCTTTGCCGGTTTTCCTGCCCGACTTTCGCCACAACCCTCAAAACCAACTGGCCAGGGATTCTATCGGTCTCCAACCCGTTCACATAAATCCACTCACAATGGTACAGACACGGCTCAAGCGCAAGCCTTCCAGGCCTTCGGGCCCATACCCGGTCAAGACGAAGCAACCTCGGACTTCACACCCGGTACCTGAAAACTCTGTACACGGACGTGTGCCTGTTTTAGATGCATCCGTTTTGATTCTGGACGTGTCCGAAAAAGATACGAACCACCCTAGTCTGGCTTTGGATGTACTCAATCGGAGAGAAAATGTGCTAGGCGAAGGTGCGAAGCTCACTCATGTAGAGAAAGAGGTACTAGGCGGAAATGCTGACGTGGTTGAACTAGTAAAAAAAGTCGCCAAGAAAACGGTTCAGAAGCTTCCCGAAATATACGAGCATATTCTGATCCCAGAAGTACCTCGCGCAGCCATCGCGATGGTCAGGGCTGTAGGCTTCCCTACTCAGCAGGGCTGGTGTTCAATCAACGACCCGAATGTGATCACGTATGCCGAGCCGCGGCCACACCCCGACGTCATGAAAGAAAGTTTAGAGGAGTCATCAGACGCTACCCGAGAATCAGATGAAAGTATACAATTTCCGGTTGAAGATGATAACTCGAACGTAGACCCTTTAGAACAAGTCGAGGGAACGGCATCTCACAATGAGAAAAACGAGTCCACCAAGAATCATAGTCCACACATCCATCGAATGAAGCAAAGCCCACGAACCACATCCGTTTTGAACCATAGGGCTACTAAAAGAAATGAAATTAAAACACGGAGGAAAGAGGGCAAGGAAGTGGAATTCCTGTGGGTTCCTCTGCATAAAGACTCCGGATCTCCCGTTCTCGGTAGACCCCAACCTCAGAAATTGACAATCCGCTGCCGCAACCAAGCTACGAATAAGGAAACAGACTTCCACTTCACCAAGATCAACAGAGACAGAATCAATTGGAAGAATCCGATCCACATCAAGCAAATCGCCCAGTGGCGCCGTCAAATCTACCGTCGTCGTGGTCTTGCAAACCGCAAGGAGTGCGTAACCTTTCAACCAGATGAAGAGGCATTTCTGATTCTGATGCATGAAAAGATCAAGATCGCTGCGACAGGCGATATCTCGATTCAGTTTCCTCCAATCAAGATGGTAGCTGACGCTTTCAACAAGTTCTTTACCAGTAAGGTCATCAAGAACAAAAATGGTGTTAATACCCCTCCTAGAATAGCAAGGGAACACACGTCAATTAGCGCAAAGATAAATCGTGGAAATAAAGAGATGCAACAGCTTCGTGCAGCTATCAAGAACATCTTGGAGGGAACTCTGGGAGATTGCATATACGCACCGGTCATTACTATGGAAGAACTGCGACTGTACCGTGAAACGGGCCAGGTTGTTGCGGATGACCCTGCCGATCCGGAGAAGAATTCTGCTTTGCTTCCTGACTCTGAGGAAGAAGAGATCATGGAGGGGGATTAGGCTGCCGACTAGAATAGAGATGACGAAGGAGCTTGGGAAGCAATCGAAGCGGGGGTCTTCTCATGTGATCGTTGACAGAACTCCGATTGACGGAGGAGGCAAGGGGGATCATATGCCTCTTGTCCCAATTTCGGAAATAACGAAACTACTACTTATAAGTTTTCAATGCTTGAGGGTACGTCTTCTTGAGTTACATTTGTCCCACGTGACTTTGTCACACGTGACTCTTCGTCTGAGTGAATGAGTGTTTATGACTCGCACTAGCTTCATATTGAGGATTAGTGCTCCTTGGCCCACTATATAGTCACCTTGGAGTTCTTTTGAGCTCCTCGGGCCTTACATTACAGCTCAATCGACCTAGTTTGTTTCTCACCACCTAGTTGACTACCGCGCAACTCCATGCCGTCTTTCCGTCACCTCCATAACTAACTATGTGATAACATTCTCCCAGCCTGACAGGTTGTCTACCCATCTGCTTGTATTCTCCCTTCCCTTTCTTTCCACTGTTAATTTTTGGAGAGATTATAGAATGAGAATTGGTGGGGTCTTTCCAGCGGAGCTGGGATAATAGTTGACGCCTGTCAGGTAAAATATGGGATGGTATAAACAGTACAATTCCCACGAGAAAAAGATTGACCTTTGCTCCGTCTTCACAGATGACGTACGAGTCTCATAGGATCTTGAAATGCTTCATTCAAGCTGATATAGTTGGCTTGGAAATCTTAGCCAACAGTGTTATTTCAAGTAGTTCTTGTAATCCAATATATTCAAAGTTGCAGTATGACATACGTCGTGAACCCAGCTGTACCTTTCCCAACTTTGCTACCTTCCCAGACTCCCCGGTCAGGGTTTTTGTTACTGCCCTAACAAAGCCATTGTGGTGGCGACGCTACAGGGGTCAACTTTCTTTGGCCGCTTCCATCTTTGAATGCACGACAAAGACTCTTTCACATGAGAGCTTGTTACAATAAAGGCATTGTTATCATACACCTCCAAACCCTGATAAAGAACACATACAATGCCCTCGGGGTCTGAAAACAAGGAACAAAATTATGCAAGGTTGATATATGAATACTATTCCTCATACATATCGCAAGGTTAGAGCTGATTGATGGTGGAGGGCATGGAGTAGTCAACTAGGTATTGAGAGACGACTTAGGTAGATTGACGTGTAGTGTAAGGTTTCTGGAGCTCTAGAGATCTCAGAGGTAAATATATAAGTAGCTAAAAGAGCGCTAGTCCTAAACAGGAAAGGAGTAAGAGGTGAAGGACTCACATTCACCGTGCGCTAGGTCACGTGAGCCGGTTTCATGTGCGACATACACCACTGGAAAACTGAACGCCCAGCATCAACACCTTCGCCACGTCCAGAAACAGGAATTGAGTCCGCTACATACGCATAAAATGAACTCAAAATCTAAGCACACTGAAGCACTCGAGAAGGATATAATAGAGTGGATCAGGAACCTCAAGATTCGCCTATGGATACCTGCCGCCGATCGGATGGATCTGGTGAAATTATCGGACGACCAACAAAGGAAATCGACATTTCGTCTTCAAACTGCAGAGAACATGATTGCAGAAAACATGGCAGCCATATCGAGGAGAAGGTGAAATATTAGGAGAAGAGAGTATGCACAGAAAGTTGATGACAGAGCTGAACGCGATCAAGGATGATTTAGGAGCCCTTGCTGAAGGTGGCCATCAACTAAAGAAATAGTTTCTGGATATTCAAAAGTTCCTGGCGAAGTGGGAGAACGAATACAATAAGGGGTATAAAAAGTCAGCCCTCTTCAGGAGTAAGATTTTTCAGAATCTGAAGACCGACAGCATAGACTCTGATGATGATGGAGACTATTTTAAAGGCAAGAGCGACTCGATGGCGATGATGTTGACCTAGGAGACTTCTTTAACAAATCTTGTCGAGGGTTTTCAAATGGCAAATGCCCCAAATAACGTTACTGGCTCAAGTCTTGTTTGAAGGTTAGTTACAAAACTGGGTCTGAAAGAGGCGACGAAGATTAGTTCGAAGATGGGTTTGATGATGGCGACCATGAGGACCCAGAAAGTTACCCAATTACCGAAGACCGTAACTAGGTAGAAGCTTCAAAGCTCAACGAAAACAGTGGTGCAAATTTTAAAAATCTCCACGCCATTTACATTCATCTTCAAGCATCCATATCCTGGATAATATTAATACTTCGAGCAAAGACATCCAGTGGAGGAGGTCAAGGGCTAACCGGAAGGTAGGAATTCTGCATGTAACATATCTCACCCAAAAAATAAACGAATATGTCGTGTAAGTTTTGGGTGGTGGCGTAGTGGAAGACTGTTGTATTGATCTGGAGCCTCTAGGGTGCCATGGTATATAGAGAGGTACAGGTATTAGTAGATGGTGGCTTGGCCTGGTTATATATCGAGTATCATTAGAGACGTCCTAGGTAAGGCTAAATAGAAATACCTACTATAGGCGAAACTATTAATCTACAATATATAGACAAAAGGAGATCTAAAGTAACGTCCGTCCCCGCATCCCGACAAACCCCCCTCAACGAGAAAAGCCATAGGTACTTTGGCTTTTAGCAGCTTAAACTCTATGCACACTTCAGCATCTGCTGTATTTTTGTACAAGTCCTATACCGTAAGCAGTTTAAACATGCACGTTTGCAACTAAAAATTGCTATTGCACTATCGCTGCTGCGCGTAAGTTTGCGGAGAGCCTCTTGTTATTCCAAAATAGACTTCTCCTACTATAGCTCCACTATCAAGCTCTTGCTGCTATTAAAAAATAGTTCTATCTAAACCTGCCGGCCTTACTACAGTGCTAGAAAGTCATAACCCTATAGCTGCTATCGCGGAATCGGAAAATTTATGCAAGGTCGCCATGCAGGTTGGTACCTCTAATCACTGGGAGCACTAATCTGACTAGCTTAAAACAATATTGGCACACGTAATTAGTCATAACGAAGTAATTTACTTAGGGTGGCTATTAGGCCTATGGCTACTGGTAGAACTTGATATATATAGACTTAGAGACTCTCCCCTTAGCAGCCAACTCAGTTCCTCATGGCTCTGGTGTTCCCAATAGTTTCACACCTATATTATCCTCATCGGTGTACACAGACCTGTTCATAGATGAGATGAAGCTACGAGGCTCGGGACTACTAAACTAACGGTTAGTCAATGATTACGACCAGTATATTTGGCTTCAACCCCCCTCGAAAGCACTAAAGTAGCTGCTAATAGAGTGCCTTATGACAGTGGGCTCGATATCTTGGTCAATGGTTCTGCAGTTCCTTCCGCCGAGCTAAGCCAGGCCATTATAAGTAGTTTTAATGGCTGGAAATTTTATTCGATACCAACCTCATCCAAGCCTTGGCCTTGACGCACACCTTTGTGCCTCTTGAGAAATTTTCGTGCGATAAGATCTTCGTCGTGTCTTCCAGGATGGGATTAATCACCTTGGCCTGGGTTGTGTCACCGCACCATCTTTCGCAGATCGCGTCGCTACACAGAGACTCAAAAGCAGCGGCCAAATTGTGATTGTTGAGTAGAACAAGTTGCTAGAAGTCACTAAAATCTGGAGCGTCGATTCGGGTCTCTGTGCTACAGAGTTTGCATTAGAATACTCGAGAACAAGGCAGGTATCCAAGAGGGCTCTTTTGTTGTGAGGTGGTGTATCAATGGGGGGGACGGGGGGGAGGATAGTATCAGATAACTTGTCTGGGGACAAATTGGACAAATGGGAGTGAGGCCATGGTAGGACTTCATGAAACTTGTTGTCGAGTTTGTCTTAGGCATCTCTTGCTTCATATCCTTCATATACACCATCCATTATGTCTCGAGAAGAATATCGTAGATTAAATTCACCAAAATCTGTTCGGAATCGCAACAGCTCATGCAAACGCAAGAATGCGACCCACCAATTTTTTTTGCGAAGTTTTATAGCAAATCATGGTAGGAATCAAGTCTCGGTACTAAGTTTTGAAATACCCAAACGAATGTGCATCGACACATTGGAAGTATGAGCGCGTCAATAAATTTCATGCGCATGTTGGAATGGCAAATGGTGGTGGGCAATGGTGGGACAAGAATTCTTACCTTAGTTCTCACCGCTGCTAGCGATGGGATCGCATACAGACTCTCGATCGGCTAGAAGTCGTCTTTCTTCTGGGAGGTGGTCTTGTTCCCCGCCTGCAGGTAACCATCTTTTTTCCAAGGACGCAATAGACTGCTATGGCTCTTTGATATAATAACTGCTGAAATGGCCCCTAAACCCCCTTATAAATTGCGGCACAGCTGTGAAAGGATTCTGTGCCGCCATGGCGCAGCTTCGAAGAGGGTAAATATCCCGACCTCCCTGGCATTATCTCTACGCCTCACATTTCCTCTCACCTTTCACAATGGGCAACGCACCTTCTTCCCCCAAGCCTGGGACAGAGTTCCAAGTCATCGGCGCGGGCCTTTCAAGGACTGGCACAGCCAGCTTCAGCGAAGCTCTTCGTGTTCTCCTCGATGCACCGGTCTATCACGGCGGCACACAAACCCTACTCGGCCCTGAAGTCGAGATTCGATCAATGATCAAAATCCTCGAGCGCTTCCCAATCCGCAGTGAAGAAGACAGAAAGGTCGTGTTTCCACTTCTGAAACAGCGATTTGATGGCTACGCCGCTGCCACAGATGCGCCAACGTCGGGACTTGTCGAAGAGCTTATGGAACTGTATCCGAATGCGAAAGTTATCTGCACGGTGCGCAATGCTGACGCTTGGGTGAAGAGCATTGGCGGCCTCTCTACTACTTCAACAATGTGGTTCCTAAGAGTTATCCTTTTCCCCGTGCCCTCAATGCGCTACTTTGCCGACTTCGTCCAAGTGCTGAGCAAACAATTCGTTTATTTATATGGCGAGAGCGTGCCGGTGTCTACTAAGACCTACGACAGGCATATTGAGTGGTTGAAAAGGGTCGTGCCAGAAGATAAACTGATTTTCTTTGATGTCACAGAAGGATGGGAGCCCCTGTGCAAGGCATTGGGAAAGCCGGTTCCGAAAGACATTCCGTTCCCGAGGATTAATGATAGCAAGACTACCGAGAGGTTTGCAAAGGAAATGATTAGAAAGGGGCTGGTTAGGTGGGCATTTATGTGTGGTGTGGCGGGCTTAGCCATCATTGCACTGTTGCGACATCTGTGAGATCTAAGGTTGAGCAAGAGTCCGCGTCCCCTTAATTCCACGCTCAAGTCTGCAATAATCCGGTATAAATATGAAAAGATTCACATTGCGGTGTATGGAGTGGAGACGAAAAGAGGAGGGAGGAAGGCCAATATTTATGACAATTAATGCGTCCAAAAGAGCCTAACACTGAGCTATAATACAACCTGGTCGAGACGCACTGTTCATACCGAAAAATGAAATCTCACTCAACCCTCTTACTTCTTTATGCTAGAAATTCGAGCTAGTGGGGTCTTATTAGCTGACGAACCCCAAGTGATGCGTCCCATTCGGGAACGTTCTTCCCAAGGATCCATATAGATTCTCACTCGCGTATATGGACCTCCAACTACGGCGTTGTCGTGACTTTTGCAATTGCGCTTAGTTCGTAGAGTCTGAGCGTGGGCGGATCTTTTCTTTCCCTCTGTTTCGTCGAGGTTATCAGAGTGGGAGAGGAAGCTAGAGGGCCGAAATTGGAGGGAGTATCCTCGATGAAGCTGAGTTTCTAGTAGATCACGATTTCTTCTCTAAGTGGACAAATATCTCTCGAACTCTCCTCGCTCCAATTTAACCCCTCACCTGACATATCTCCTTGGGTTTGGTCGGCACAGAGTACAGGTGAACCTACCAAGCTAAAAAGTCCGGATTATTGCTTCATAACAGTAAGCTCAGATGGTTGCATTACCCGAATGAGCGAATATGGAGTTTAGGGTCTACTTCAAAGCGGGGGTAAGGTCGATGTACATAGGAAGATTTTCGGATGCCATAGTCCCGGTTGATGCAACGGTGCGGGGACGGGGGCGGGTTTATAGCGTGAAGAGAGGAATATACAGCAGGAAACAATACTGCAAGAAAGCTTGGGAGTGAAATTCAACTTGGGTGCTGGGGGAGAACCTGCCATGCGTGAATCATTTTCGCGTTCGGGAAAGGCGAAGATCTTACCTTAATAAATATACAAAGGGACTAGCCTGGCTGAAGCTATATGAGGTTCACCGTTCTAGAGACACTCTCAACTAGGATAGTGTCACGGATCGCTGAGATAAACTTCTCACGGTAAAGTACCAACATACTCAAAAACGTTCACTTGCTGAAATACATCGGCTTCCTCTAGGAATGCTGAGTTTGTGTCCAAATTGATGTTATCCACATTCAATCACCCTTAATGTGACAATGTACACTCCAGCTCCAAACTGCGATGAGCTGCCCCCAATAATCCATCACCTTGTGAATGAGCCTGCGACAGGCCTCTTTATTCCCCAACTGGCACCGCCGGAAGGTCCTCGATATGCAAACCCCAATCTTTCATCTCCTCCTCATCCAAAAGCCACCACTTGTGCTCTCCATCCAGCAGCTGAAACAGTATCCTAGCATGATGTGGCCATTTGTCGAGAAACCATAGCTGCACCGCAAAAACAGTAGCACCTTGCGTGCCTTCTGGCCATGGAAGCTCGGGTGTTGGAGGAGGTATAATCCAGGGATTAAGCGGGGTGGGGAGATCGAAGGATTCCCAAACTCCGAGCCCCTCAGGCGGAGCCGGAATGTGGTCGAGAAGCAATTGCCCCGGATCGTACTCAAATTTGCTCTCATGGTATTCTTGAACATTGTCGTGTTGCTGGAAGCTAGATTGGGATTCATGCGGTGTATCCGAGACTTCGTCCTCCGCTTCCGTATTCAGCACTTTGTCGTGAACATCTCTTAGGTGGCGCTGCAATAAATCCTTCCGGGCATACCGCCTCTCACAAACAGGACATTCGAAAGCTTTCTCACCTGTGTGGCAAAGTTGGTGACGGGTCAGATGAGAATGGCGTATGAAGTTCTCGCCACAGAAGCACGAGTATGGCCTCTTCTTTGCCATGTTCGCTTGTGATTGACGGAGTGGGAGGAGATGCATGCTCAGTAATGAAGGGAGAGAGAAGCCATTGGCAGCCATATGAAGACATTCTTACTGCGTCTGCGTACTTGCTCAATGAGAAAATTTTAACACGCTTAGAGAAAGTGAAGCTCAGTTCTTCCCGACGTAGAGTGTGATACATCTGTTGTGAAAGACCAGATTCGGCTGGTGGCGCGGTCAAAAGCTGCACGGTTCATTCTCATACAAAGCCGAGCTGCTAGTCGCGGCCAAGGATTCTCGAAAGTTCTGACAATGGCTCTCGTGCGGGATTCACCACCACCGTCTCGATTCGGAAATCGATACCTGACTAATCATGCTCTGTTAGCGTTATCTAGAATCCCATCTAAGCTGTGCCTCCCTCTATATCAGGCCTTCTCCATACTTACCTTGTTGCGACATCTTGATCTCAAATTTCGTGTTGTCTGCCTCGATCAACGCATTGCACGTCGCGGACTGGTCCTGGTATGAAGTGGTTTGGGCTCCTTCGGCGGCGCAACTTTTGCTGGTCTTCCCATATATTCTCACCGATTCTCATGGCTTGCTATGAAGCTGAGGAAGCTCCTTCCATATTGTCATCGCGTACATATACTGTAGGTCGCCACGGAACGAAATAAACTAGGATATGGATAGAAGCAGACTTTCACTTGACAACTTCTTAGACTCCAGCATGGGCCTTGGTAGATGGAAGTAAATTTCTTTACTCTCCCTAATATACGCTCATACGGCGTATTTTTGTGGAGATGAACTCGCCGCCATTGTTTGAACCGCCTGAAAGGGCATTCTCACCTCAACTTGGCCACAGCTGCCCTCCTAGCACATCGACCCCAAGCCAGCAACGAAACGTGTTTTCAGTGATTTATTCAGCGATGCCTGGCTTTAGCGGAGATGCGATGAAGCCCATGCTAAGCCTCATGGATCAGAATGACGCCATTCTGCAAGCGGTAAGTACCCCCTGGACTCCGGCTTCACATCCAAAGTCCACTCGAACCCCACATTCTTCCAATTCGCCCGCTTCACGTAAACCCCACATAAACTCTTCCACCCAACTGTGGGCGAATTCAAAAAGGGCTTCGACGAGCACGGCGCTTTCCCTTAAAACGACAGCACATCTCCATCTCCACCAGCTTATGTCAGGAGCATGATGGTGGTGCACAAAGAGCAATTTCTACGTGTACAATACTTTCAGGGGATTAAATTTTCCCTGTACTGAATCATCATCCCATTGTGTTCTATCCTCCTCTTTAGTCTCTATTCACTCACCATTCAAAGACCTCCTGTGCTGCCTGTTCAGGGGCGCAGATAGTTACGTACTCCGTACTTTCTATATCTGGTAGCATGAGCTCGGGTTTGCTTCAAATGGAAGACAAGGTCTCCTGCACTGCCGAAGTGTGTGACCAGAATCTGTGGCAAAAATACGTCCCTGTGAATGAAGGGGAACGTGAAGGGAAGCCCCACGCTTCCATATCGCCTGATGTGCGAATGTGACGGAACTACTGAACGAGGGTAAGGAAATATCGGATAGTACGTATCTGGAAGATATGGCAAACCCTTTATTAATTTTGTAGCAAATTATGTGAACTCTATCGACGATTCAAGGGTGCCAAATCTCTTCTCTCCAGGCAAAATCAGAAGCACCTGAGAGTCAGCTGCAATCATCTCCCCTATTTCATTTCTTTCGAGTTTAATTGTACAGTTTCTTACTCAAAAAGACGCAGTGATTCCTCCCTCTGATCAGGGAAGCGCAGGAGGGAAACCCACTCTAGCAAACGGGCGAAGGCGAAATCCTGCTGAACAACGACGTAGAGTCATCTTGATCACTCCGGATAGGGGGCAGAGCAGCGGAATCTATATAACCCCCCAAATTACCTTCTCAAATTCGATTATATCCTCCCCCCTCAGCCCTTCCTCAACACCACTCCACTTCAAAGTCTCTTCTTTTTCTCCAATCCGTCAATTTCCCTCCGTTCACTATGTCTTATCCTAGATATGTTCCACAAGGCGTCCAAGGCATAAGGGTCCCTATCGACATCGAAGACACCGCAATTGCCCTAATTCCCACCTCGGACATTGCGATTCCGGACTTCAATTCTGTCCCGTTCAAGACCCAGCCGTGGCGTGACGTGCCGTCGATCATCATTACTCATCTCCAGATCCCGAATCCCCTTTCCCCTCCGGATCCGAACTGGGAATCACTTCTGCGCTTTTTCTTGACCCCGCAACCAAATGTCCCTATCAGCCACGGCCATGGCAACTTGCAAGACTTGTACATGTTAGTCACCCGCATTGTGATCCCCAATCTAATCATCACCAATCGAGTCCACATTTGGGACATGTATCTAACGCGTGGCAATCTCACCACCCGCTGTCTCCTTCGCTACGATGCCTGGGACTTCCTGCCCCGCTATCAGCAGCAGTCACCCGCAGTCACGAAGCCACGCCTATATGGCGACCGGACTGGAAATCCGCGCGCCATTCTGAGGAGCTATGTAACTCCGGATGGCGATGCATTCCTTGCTTGGCTTAACGCTGCCCCCCAGCTCCCGCCGCAATGGCCGGTAAATACCCCCATCCCTAGCCAAATGGCCCACCACCCATCGGTGGAGCTGGATGTATACCTCCATGACAGTGAGGACTGGATCCGGGGAATGGATCCGAGGATCCTCCTACAACGGTTGGAGCGGGTACTGGAGATGTTCTGGTGGTTGGCCAGTAACAATGCCAGGCTGGAGCAGTTCCGAGCAGCTCGGTGGGAGGGAGTGGAGACCTACTGCTTAGCATGACGTACAAACTACTAGAGCATCCGATGTAGATGATTGGAAGAGCGGTGAATGGATTTAAGTATATTAGTTGGGTTTGATTCGTTTTCGTTCGGCTTGGTTCCGCATAGCTTATTTTTCTTGCACTGCAATATACCCTATTTTTTTTTCGTACAGCATGTTCTAGAAGTCTTATAAATGAACACACATATCTATATCTCTATGTACTCCTTGCTCTATTCACCGAGCAGCTCCTTTCACCCCTATTATTTGCCATATTTACCTACGTGCCTAGACTAGCTAGTTCAAAAGCCATGAATCAGCTTAAACTCCTCCATCCCCCAGTAAAAATCACTGTTCATCTGTTCCAGCAAATCCAAATACCTTGTAGCATTCACAGCCAATTCCGCAAGCTCCTCATTCTCCGGCTGCCGCATCCAATGCTGATCGACCTGCAAAAGCCCCAACAAACCCAGCTTGCGTTCACCCGTCTTACCGAAAGCATGTGCGGGCTTCACAAGCCACTCCAGCTGCGGTACATAGTGGTCTAGGTTCTGCCACTTCCAAGTCTCCCTCACTTCGAGACCTTCTAGCGCCCGCGCAGATTTCTGCATGTTCTGGTTGTGCTTAATTAAGGCCACCAACTTCTCCTTTGAGATCTGTAGGACCATGTTGCGGATTGTGTCGAAGCCTGGTGTGCGGCCGATAATGTTGGGATAGTGCAGTGAGCATCTGTCGGCAGGATTGACGGAGTGGATTCCCACAATTGTAGCCTTGGAGGAATAATAGGGATTCCAGGGGTCGCAGTAGAAGTGGATATGGTGGTCCCAGTCTTCGAAACACTTACACTCTTTACGGCGGAGACGAGCTTCGATGTCGGGAAGAATGGGGAAAGCTGTGTGATATGGTTCAACGGATGACATGGCGGCGTCAGGAGCGGGGGTAGCTGGCGGCTTGGTCTGAGAGGGAGGGGAGGGAGCCTCTGAGACAGAACTAACAGAAGCGGCAGGAGGAGATTGGGTCACAGGAGCAACAGCAAGACCTAAGGGTGGAGACGAGCCGGACAAATTGGCCTGCCTCAGCAACTGTGGTGGAAGTCCGGAACCAGCAAGAACCCCCCGGTCTGGCTCTGTGGGTGGGTTATTTTGAGAGTGGGCGAGAGGTAGAATCTTCAGGCTTTTACTTCCAATCTCTTTAGCACTGTAAGCGTGATGTTGAGTTCTAGTCATTCTACTGATACAGGAAAATGTGGATTCTGGTTTCTGAGGTTAGAAATATGATCTTGATCTCAGGGGTAGCTTACAATTTTTTGAAGAGTGTAGTGGAAGGGAAGTTTAAACTTGGAACTTAGGTTGATGCTAAACCCAATCGAGCCGGAGTTGAAGGTGTCCAGAGCGAGTGGGATGCAGAGCGTGGTGCCTTAGGATGAGAAGCCGTTATGCTGTCAAAAATGTGTCTTTTATACCAGGGCCACGAGCTCATAGACGGCACCTAGGTCACTAACATCATTACCTTGATTCGGGACAATGTTCCGCTTTCTAGGCCGAGCTTTCGTTCCTCACCCGTCTACAGCCACCTTTTTAGAGAATGTGTGAAGCTGTATTCTGTGTGAAATAGCTAGAAATAGCCCACCTGGTTCATTTTACATCGATTCAGTGACTCCACAGCGCTGTTTGTATGCTGCGTGAAGCATCTACGCGTTCCTGTTTTGGAATCCGAACTTTCACCCAAGTTTGCAAGCAGTAACCCGTGATGAACTGAAGCACGCACCCCCGCTTCCTAGACAAAACCACCGTAAACCTTACGTAGGACAAATATCCCCTTACCTTGATTGCTAACACAAAGCGCTTAAATCTCCGCTATGTCGACTCTCTGCATCCTAGGCTATCCGTCTGTGACTTGCAGCAATGCACAAGAAGCCCCATATTCAGATCTAAATCCAGATCCAGATCCAGATTCAGATTCATACACAAATCCGGACGCAGACTCTAGCTCCAACCCTGAACTAAGCCTCCGAAAGCCCCCTCATCCCAATACGCCCCTCTCCAACCATCCCTACCCCTTTCACCGCAACCTTAGAAGCCTTTGCCAACGCCATAATATACTTCGGGCAACACCACCCTTCCCTCACTATCCCATCACCAACCTTGTGCAAATACTGTCACACTCCCCGAACCGGCCGACAATGTTCCGCCCGTACATCTGCACAAATGACGACTGACAATCAGTGATAGAGATGTGGGTATTGGTATTGCGGACGCTTCCTCTGAACCAGGTAACCGAGAATTGGGAACTAGTAGTGGAATTGTACGATAAGCAGAGGAAAAAGAAGCTGGAGTTGATATTAAGGTATGATATGATGTGTGGAGAGGAAAGTTAGAAGGAAGGGTTAGTAATTGAAGCAGAGTAATAGATATGACGAGAATGACGATTATATGGATGGGGGTGCTAGAGCTGAAGCTGGAGGTGGAGGTTCTATCGAGGAGTGAAGACCTGGACGTAGATGTGGATGTGGATGTGGAACTGGTCGTGTTACACCAGCACCAGTACAGGCCACAGTTGCATCTGACGCCTCGTCCGTTGTCTCAGCGCTAGCCTTCAATCCAGAGCTGCGCCTTGGGGTGGAGGATCCATGAGCCGCAGGCAGACGGCCTCTAGCATCAAAGGCCATCTCCACACTCACAGAGTCACCGCCCCCTACAAGCCGGCTACTGAGCCACAACATTGAAACAAAAACTAGGACACTATGCCGCCGAATTAGATTACTATCTCGCGATCGCGAATTTTACCGTGGAAGCCCGAGTAGTTTGAGGCATGCCGTGATTCTTTCGAGCATTGCGTTGGAGTGGCAGTGGGTGAGGGAAACCAATCAGAAGTTGACCGAGTTTTCAGAGAGGGATGCTCTCGAGTTGGAGAACAAGTAGTGGTTTGGTGGCGTTGAGATGGGGGTATGGCAGCATGAGATAGATTTGGATTATTGTTAGGGGGAGAGGTGTGGGATTAAGGGGATGGATGAGGGAGCGTTTGGCGGGGAAGGAAGGTCTGGATGATAGCGGGATTCAGATTAGTGACGGAACAAAAGGGGCATTGATTAAATGTGGTTGAAAAAGGCCTAGAATATAAGATAGGTCAGGACCGTCGTTGCGGGTACAGGTCGGCGTTGTTGACACGTGCTCACGTGTGTCTACTAAGCAGTGATGCTGATTGGCTGGAATTTCTGTGAAGTTTGCACCGACGAGTGCTGCGCTTAATGTCAAGTGTATCGGTAGCTCTCGTCGTAGCTATCGTAGTACGAATACCTCGAGATGCATGTGTGGAAAGGTCTGTATTCTAGAACTCAGTAGCAAATTAATTTTTTTGAAGAGTTTCAAGGAAAAGTAGAGGGGGACGATGATAGTCTGCTCAATGCAGAGCCAGTTTGCGCAAATCGAGTCGTTCCGGAGTCCGTTGAGGGAGGGGTGGATGCAGGGGAACTGTGGGAACAATTGCTGACTTCAGACCGGACACATCTTGACGCTCAGATTAGCAACGCGAAAAGGAGACCGGACTCGGCGGCGTTCGGAACTACGTCCTGCTCACTGCGGGCAGTGAGGTATTGATTCTTCGCATTGCTATTGCCAAATGCTTTGCAGAGGGCAATGGAAAAACCTGAAACTGTTACAGGCTCTGGTGTCGCGCTTCCGATAGTTGTGTTCTAGAAGATATTTGGTGATCTCGCTAGTTAGTGGAACGATATATCTGAAACACATTTGGAAAGACGAGGTACTTACAACCTCGCTTGAGAGAAGGAACAGAGAAAGGGACTCATGCCGACACTTGGTGGGTGTTGCTTTTGAAAATAGAAGAGACATAATGCAATGCCTCCAAGAGGCAATCGATTAAGGGCTCTCTTGGAAACCAGCGGTGGCGATTTTGACCCAGGCCACCGGGTGATTCGATGTCCACGGACACGCCGTTCTTTTTCGATTTGAGCCGCGTCTCTTTTGGGTGGTTCGCGCCATCTCATGCACGTTCGGCTGCGATGCATGCTGCTTGCAGCAAGATGTGTTCGAGGGCACTCAGGGATGCCTATAACATGGGCTCACGTGTGTTTCCATTGCCGTGAGGGCATCCTTTTTTGGAGTCGGGCTGTTTTTGAGAATTCACTCAAGGAGGTCGGCACCTTGGAGGGGCGCTAAGAACAGGCTGCCCACACGATCACCCATCGATTTCGATTCGCTGCATAGCGCATGATTGGCTGCTTCAGATGAATTTCTGCGCGTCTGCACACGCGTGATGCGTGAACTGAGCGTGTTCAGGAATAAGGCTGTGATGACTCCTGCCCTTGGTCACAGCCAGCTGCTCACCACCACTGTCATTGGATGAGGTCTCGCAACACCGATCCTCACACCGCACAGCGTTCGGTCGCGCCAGCCCATCATAAATGCGGAGGACACGCGATGCGCGATGTCCTGACGCGCGGAGCAGAGGATGGTCTTTTGCCGACGGGCCACCTGCAGTTCTGCCAAGGATCCCCCTTCTGGATGATAAGCAGGCGAACAACCTCCTTAAGCTCCCGAGTTCTCCACAAGGCCTGCAGGCCGACACTCTCGTTCCAGCCACTCTCTTGTGCATTTGTTCTGTCTTGTTGCACCCTCACTCCCGTCGCTCATTTATCTTGTGCATTCTTTGCCGCAGCGCCTCTCATTCATTCGGTGTGTGTTTTGCTGTAGACGGCCTCGCGGAGTACTCGCCCGAGATTCCACTCTTTCGAAACGTCAACGCCGCCAGCACTGTTTACACCTCCGACAGGAAGCCAGCAGCCGTTTCCTGCATTGCGAAGCCTCAGGCAACCAAGCAGCAGCATTAACGACATCATTGCCACGCCAACCCTCGAGTACTCGGCTTGTACCTCGACATCCCAGACCGGCCCTGCATATGTCACCCCCCTAAAGGCCCGACTGCATACTCGTCATGGAGGTCGAAAAAGACACAGTGCAACCTATCCAGGAGGCAGCACAGCGCTCCCCGAGGACACATGTCGACAGCCAGCCTTTGCCCACTGACTCGATGGTTACGGTCCCGCTATCCGAAACCGACGGAGGACATGTTGCCGAACCGGAGGAACTTGTCACACTACCACTATCACAGCCCGAGATCATGGTGGAAGAGAAGCGTCTGTCTTCCCGGCCGACGTCTGCTGAGATAATGCAAGCGATTCGGGAGCGAAGCAGCCAGGGCGGCAGTATTCATTCCCCCACCATAACTGAGATGAACAGTCCTACTCTATCTTTACCTGAGGACCAGTCGCCCCACACTCCAAGATCGAGGGAACGGTCGAGAAGTGACAGCAGTGGGTCGGACCACAGCGTACAGGTGGACTGGGTGGAATTGGAGAAGACGGAGGAACAGGAGGCTCGAGAGGACGGCCAGGACGATGTGGGCTATTGTTACGCGAATCGTATGACACCAAGCTAACATGGACAGGCAATGGCACTTCTTCTCGCGCGCTTAGAGCAGGAGAACAACGCCCTCGCAACTGACCCGAAATCTGGGCTGAAGACCCGCGCTCGAAGCCAGTCTCGCCCGCCATCGATCAACCAGCTCAAGCGACTCGTCCGAGAGCAGGATGCCTCGCAAGTCCGATTCTCGCTACTGCCCTCCCCGCCGCCGATGACCGAGCTCGAGTTCTGGGCTGCTTTGGTCCGAGATTATCCACAAACTGTCCAGCGCCTCCCGACACTCACACTGAACAAGGTCCGCGGTGGCATACCTGCGCCATTGCGGGGTATGGTGTGGCAGAGTGCATCGGGAGCAAGAGACAAGCTGATCGAAGATCAATTCGATCACCTCTGTGGGGAGTCCAGCCCGTACGAAAATATTATCAATAAGGACCTCGGCCGGAGCTTCCCAGGCGTGGAGATGTTTAGGGACCCCGAAGGCGAAGGGCAGAAGATGCTTGGACGCGTATTGAAATGTTTCAGCTTATACGACCACAAAATTGGATACTGTCAGGGACTCGGCTTTCTTGTTGGTCCGCTTCTGATGCAGATGGGCGATAAAGAAGCCTTTTGTGTCCTCGTGCGGTATGTCCACTTGTGCTCCGCTACGAGTCCCTTCGTATGCTAACACGCCGCAGGCTTATGGAAGATTACGACCTTCGATCCTGTTTCTTGCCAGACCTCTCAGGACTTCATCTTCGCATCTATCAGTTTCAACACTTGTTACGTCAGCACATGCCAAAATTAGCCGCACACCTGGACGTTCTCCAGGTGGAGTCAGCTTACCTTTCGCAATGGTTTCTATCTTTCTTTGCCGTCACTTGCCCGCTTCCAATGTTGTTTCGCATCTACGATGTTATCTTTGCCGAGGGCGCGTCCGAGACCATCATGCGCGTCGCGCTGGCGCTAATGAAAAGGAATGAGCAGAAGATTCTCGGCTTCACGGAGTTTGAGGATGTTATGCAATTGCTATTAGGGAGACAGCTATGGGATCCGTACGGCCGCAATGCCAAATCAGCCGATGAGCTCGTCAACGACTTTGTGAGCTTCACCAATGATGTGACGCGGGAAAGCCTTCAGAGGTTAGAGGCGAACTTCAGAGAAGAGAAGAGGGATCGAGCGTCCAAGACATCGGAAGTCCAGAAGTCTGCCACCTCATTCCTGGGCCGGTTATGGGGTCCTTCAAACTCTTCTACCAAGTCTGTCTCTCTCAGTCCTGGACTACAAGCCCCCTCTAGACCCGTTAGCTTTCTTCGCCGCACACCATCGAAACAGAGTCTTGTGACGATCAATTCGGTTGACGGTTCTGATAGTTCGACCGGAACCCAGAGCACGGCTCTTACCGACATTTCGCGAGGGTCATCTGGGGATGCTCTTTCCCTTAAATCTGGTCATGAGTCCACTACGCTTTCCATCAGGATGGGGCATTCGGTAAAGGACCGCGACCTGCATTATCAGATCGAACAACTCCTTATGTCCGTTAGCCAACTTCAGCGTCAGAACAGCGAATTGGAAGCTGCATTGCAAAAGCAACGGGAAGACCGTCGTGAAGACCACCGAATAGTCCGAGACGTTATCAACAAGATCCGAACGAAGTTGCCCTCCACTCCTTCCAGCCGAGAATCCCGTCGCCGAACAACTATTACTTCCGCCACCCTCGTACCATCCTCGCCTTCTGATGCAAGCTCTGACTCAGCCCATCCCCAGGAAATTACTCAGGTCGCCGAGGCTCTGGACAATCGGTTTCCGGCCCATCAGACCCATCATCGTGCGTCTTCGATGTTCGAAACGAAGGACTTCTTACGCGATTCCTTAGCCCGAACCAAGGAGCAGCTCGCTTCCGAAACGATTCGCGCGCAAGCACTGGCTCGAGATTTGAATGACCGCGACACCGAGCTGCAAATTGCTCGTGATGCGCTTAAGGACACCAGGCATCGACTTCAGGACTCATATCACCAGAACCAGCGGCAAGAGAAAACAATCCTGGAACTCCGACAGAACGCCCGAAAAGGATCCGTCCCATGGGGATCGGAGTCAACGCCAGATGCATCTCCATCACTCTCTCGTTCCGACACGGCCGATAGCACGGCATCGACTGGCGGTCTACGCGAATTGAGGCTTGGGCGATCTGCAAGCCAGAAGTCCTCCGCGCCTCAATTCACGAAGCGCGGGTCGAGCTTAGCAACACAGAACATCCTAGCCACAGAGAATCATGCTCCAGTGGACAACGAAGCACTCTTGCTCGAGCTTGTAAACGCAAAGACGGCGGAGGCCGTCGCCAAGCAGGAATTGGAAGAAATCAAGAACAAGTTCGAATCGATGAAGAAGTCAATGGGGGTGCAAACTCCAACTCCCGCACAAACACCATCACCGACACCCCCGAATACGGGTGGAGGGTTTTGGTCAGGCTGGAAGCGATCCGTGAGTACGAACAATGCAACGATACCGTCGTAGGGGCTGTTTCCTCTGGCATCATAAAGTTAAGGTGTATATATGAAGCTTTGTAGGAAAGGCATTGGCACTGTATATGTTGGAATATCTGTTGCGGAAGAACGATATTGGATGGGAACGATTTTTCACCATTTTATGATACCTCGCCATTAGTTTTGGCGCTCTTCTGCTTCCTACGGACACTGGTGTGAGTAGGAAGCTTTATATATAATTCATGATTGTGGATACGAATCGATATATTGTTACTCTTGCTCCACTGGTCCACCACTACTGTGTCTTTCATTGTGAAGCTGGTACGCTCGTGGCAACACGGTTGAGCTGCTTTACTTCTTCATTAACACGGCATTGCCTATCGGAATTCATCTACTTACTCCAAACAACTGCCGACTTTCACCATCCTCGAATTCCCAGATTTAAAGCAACCAAATGCCACAACTGCTAGATAAGTCATCCTCATGTTCTCGAATCCCATAACCCTGGTCCTTTCCCCGCATCCGAGCATCGTGATGCACGCTACCCGAAACGTCATCGCATCCAGCCACGTGCACGCACATGTTTCCCATTTTGTTCCTTCCACGCCAAAACAGTACCGAGAACAGACATTTGGATATTTAGCCTAACCTAACAAGTGAAAATGCTACTACAACTGCGATTCAGAACATGCAGATTCTGTAGACTAGGGGAAGGACGATATGCCGACTCTGAAAGCCGATCTTACTGTGCTGATCCGAAGCGGACACTGGCCCATTTTCGGGTAGTGGATCGTCGGGTCGGGAACTCGCGTGCAGGGAAGATTCTGAGCTTATTCGCTGGGGACGAGGCTGGAGGCCTGGGGTACTGTGTCAAGTGTATGTCTCGGCGTTTTAGGGTGAGTTGATTTGGTGGGTTTGGAATGGGAAACAGAACGGCAATTTCTGCAGGTTAGGGGTTGGACCGGGTTGATGGGAGCTTCAAGGCTGGGGACGGAGCAGATGGGAGGTTTATGGGATGGGATGGGAGTTATTAAGGCTTGGGTAGCTACCTCTTTCTCTTTTCTATGTTTGTCTTTCCTGTCTCAAATGAAAGCGCCCGGTTCAAGTTGAAAGATTACGGCGCGGAGCTTTTCCATCAAGCTGATTGATGACTCGATATCTGACGTGCAGTGCAGATACAACTGCCGTTCAATAATATCGGGCCTTCTCCTCAAAACGTCATTTTAGAGCCAGTCTGGACTCGTTGCAGGCGTCTGCTGAATCTCCCTGTATTGCAAAGCGGAATTAGACCGCAGGGGTTCGAATAACCTATATCAATACATACTGGCTCCCTCACAGACCTTTCTAGTTTCACAATTTGGACAATTACGAGCATTTGCTTCGCCTTTTGAGGCCAATCCTCGCCGCAATTGCCTATCATGGAGATGAACTACGATGATAAGGTACGCCAATCCTGTTCCACCTCTCCCATCTTGCGAATGCATGCTAACATACGTCCAGGAGATCCGACAGATCGAAGCCGAGCTTCACACCGAGATCCTCCCTGGCACAGAAATCATGGCAGATGTCGGCACGCACCACTTCGTCAAAGGAGCTGGGAAGACCGTTCTTGTCCCTCAACCCAGCGATGACCCGCATGACCCTTTAAATTGGAGTACGGGATGGAAGATCGCTTGTATAACTGCTAGTACGGTGGTCACGTTTACCCAGGGTTTTGGCCCCTTGGCGCTTGCACCAATGTTTGAACCGATTATGGAGGACTTCCATTGCAGTCTTGCGGATGCGGTGCAGTTTACTGGTGTTTGTATTTTGGTGCTGGGGTTTAGCAATTTTATCTGGTAAGTGGCTAAAAACTAAAGCCTCGAAAGCTCCACATGTTTAGGGAGGGAGAAAGAGACAAGAGAGCTAATTAGAGAGTAGGGTTCCTATCAGTACCTCCTTTGGCCGTCGCCCTGTCTATCTTCTCTCGCAGCTCATCAACTTTGGCACTTCGATCTGGCGCGCGAAAGCTACATCTTATGGCAGTTTTATGGGAGCCTGTGTTGTGAATGGAATTGGAGCTGGTCCTGCGGAAACCATGCAGCCTGCAGTTATTGCGGATATCTTCTTCTTGCATGATCGTGGGAAGTGGAACACGCTATATTGGGTAACCTACATGGGATCTTTAATGGTATACCTAACCCAATCTCCTCAAACCCCGGGAACGTAAGCTAATCTGCAAAGGTTGGACCTATTATTTCTGGTCCCATGGCGTCTAACGTTGGATGGCGCACTTTTTGGTGGCTCAATACCGCTCTACTAGGGTTCTCGTTCCTCCTTGTAGTCTTCATGTTCCCAGAAACGAAATATCACCGGCCACACCCAGATGAACTCAACCATACCATCAGCAAAGGCAGTCCCGCTGCCTCTTCAAACGAAAAACTCGAGACCGCCATCACAACCGAAAACACGGCGTCCAAACCCACCGACCCTGAATCTATCCAGCAAGTCCCAACCTCCGACTGCATCACTGGTCCCCTCGCCGGCCTCACCCAAGAAGAAACTGCCGCGCTGGACCCGTATCTTGGCAAAGGCAAGCCGGGGAAATATCAATGGAGGGTGTTCCAGCCAAACGCGCACCCTTTCAAAACGATATTACTTGATCTCTGGATCCCGTGGAAGATGTTTGCGTTCCCAATTGTCGAGTTTGCGAGCTTTGTAGTTTCGTGGAGCTGTAGCAGTTTTTTGACTCTGAACTTGACGCAGAGTCAGGCATTTGCGGCGCCACCCTATAATTTTAAACCCCAGACGATTGGTAAGTCTCCTCTCCACAATCCAACCCATATGAATCCCAAACGTCATTCATGTTTGAGAACAAGTATCCAACAGAATTATATCTAATCATGAGTAGGTTTCTTCAACTTCGCCATCCTAGTCGGTGCCCTAATCGGCCTCTTCACCGCCGGCCCACTCTCCGACTGGATCTCCGCACGCTCGACCCGCCGTAACAATGGCATCCGCGAGCCGGAAATGCGTCTGCCTGCCATGATCCCCTACGTTATCATCATGTATCTCGGCAACATCATCGTAGCTGTCGGATACCAGAGGCACTGGCCCTGGGAAGCCATCGTCATCATCGGGTTCACGTGCGCGGGGATCCAAGTTGCGGCGCTCCCGAGTATTAGCTCGACTTATGCGGTAGATAGTTATAAACCGGTTGCCGGGAGTCTGTTTGTGAGTATCACGGTTAATAAGAATGTTTGGGGGTATGGCTTCAGTAAGTTCATCACGGTTTGGGCAGAGGATGATGGGTTTATTCCCCCAATTATGACGAATGGGAGTTTGATACTGTTGTGGTGTCTGTTTGGAATCTTGTTTTGGTGGAAGGGAAAGACTTTTAGAAGATGGACGAAGAATAGTAAGGTACATAGGATGTAGGGGCTTGTTGTTTGAGGTTGAAGATTGAAATCTGCGTATGGCAGGGGACAGGGTATTGAGGCGGAGGGATAGGGAGTTAGGGCTGTAGCAGGGAGTGAAGCTAGTTATTGGAATTGAAGCTACGCACCTATTGTCTTCTCAGTCAGAATCTCGTTGTCCAATGGAGTTCAGATGGAACATAGAATATGAGAAAAAGTGGCTGAACACCCACGAAAACTGAGTGCTTCTTGCCTCAGTCTACCAATCATGCCCCCTCCTTAACCCTAACAATCACCTTCCCAAAATTTCTACCCCCGGCAAATACTTAAAAGCGCTTCTCTACTCTTCAAATTGAAACACACAATCCACAACCGGCCCAATCTCCTTCCGATTAGTCCACTAAATCTCACACTCAAACGATTTCCGCAGCGTTTGGGCGCCGCGGAGCTCGAAGAAAACGTCGGCGCCTAAATCTCCCGTTTTGGACAGAACTGCTTCTTTCCAGCTGGGGGAGGTTTATGATTTATTGTTTCGGTTGCGCCGAGCGTTTTACTGCGTTTCGAGCTTGGCGGAGGAGGAGGGTGTGATGATTACTTTTGCTCCCGCCGCGCTGGCAATTTTCAATATCGCGATAATGACCCCTATCCCTTTACACAGTACGGTTTCCCCGGCAGGGACGATGGACCCGGGAGCTCGCATTCTGTTTAGTCTCATCTATACGGTTATCGCGGTGATGGGTAGACAGCTGGCCTCTTTATCGGTGAGATACGCGAGGACTTTGACGAATCCGTAATTGGGGAAGATGCGGCGTGTGGTTAGGGTTGTGGGCCACCGAGGCCGTTCGCGAGATCGAAGGGCTGAATTTGGCCTGTTGGGGTATGGCTGCGAAAAATCGAGACGACACGGTCGCCGGGATGGAGTTCGAAAATTGGGGATATAGGGGGAGGTCGACGCTATGCAAGTCTGTCCGCAGGAAGAACGATGCCGCACATGTCGGAACAGGGGACGAGGAGGAGAGGAGAGCTGACAGATTTGTGGTGTGCGTAGAGACCCATTGTGACTGTGAAATATTAATATCAATGTTGATCTCAACCTCAGTCTCAGTCTCCCGTTAAAATCTCTCCAAGACCCAAACCCAAAGCACACCAGTCTTTCCAATGCGCACACTCGAAAACCCCACAGCCAAAGGAAAAATCCCGCAAAAGAAATCTGACTTGCCTTCCGTATCCCTATAATTCAAACTGACAGTCCTAACCTCCACTAATACTTCATCAGCCCCCCCCCCTTAAAATCCAACTCCCCTTCCTCCAACCTCAATCCCTCCAATCCACCCTGCCTCGTAAACACCCCCCTCACTTTTTGCTTTTGCTTTTGCTCTGATGCTGATGCTGCCATTTCCCAACTCTTGCCCACAAACCCGCTATTTCAGCAAGCCAATCGCGCCTGTCTTGAGAGAAAGGTGGCGTGGGCATGTTAGCAATTTATGGAACGGATTCTTAGGATTACGGGTAGGAGGGGCCGATGGAGAGGGGAATTGCCTTGGTGGGGGCGTTAGAAATATTTAAAGGGGAATTAGTCGGTATGTAACGGAAAGGAGAAGGATGTTTGCGGGTGCAGTTAGGCGATGGGTGATGGGCTACGGGCGGGATCGGCCCTCGGCCGGCGATTATCGTAAGACGTCAATATTGCCAGGGTGTCGGGAGTGAGCTTCCGACAAGTCTACCAAAGATCGCAAGAAATTGCCAAGAGTACTACTGCGCACATACTCTTGAGATCATTGTGTACCACGAATCGAATTGAAGATTGGACCCGATTTCATTATAAATTATCATAAGCTACCATGAAGCGCCGCGCTGCAAAGGCAGACAGATGCAAATATGTATCAGTTTTTATAGTTCCCGGGCACCTCTGGCCACTCGTCTGTTCCATCCAACATGGCCATGGCCATACCTCCATTCAAATGACTCTGAATATGACAATGGATCATAAACGCCCCCGGATTCACAACATGGTACCGTACAGCCAGCCAGGTTGGTGCCGACACCGTTGGCGGCGTCACAAACCCGTCCCGGAATGGTGGTGTGACAAGGTTGAAGTTTTGCGGGATAGCGCTCATAGCTTCGGCAACAGTGCTCCATCTCCAATTACCTGTTCCTTGGCCGATGATGAAGCCTTTGTTACTGTGCTTGTGGATGGGGTGTGGAGGCTGGTTGAGCGTGGTTACGGTGAAGATTAGGTCGACCCAGGTGTTGTTGAGCGTAGTGATAGTGATGTCACCGCCAGGGTTGCTAGCAGAGGGCTGTTTATAGAGCAGAGGTGGGTTCTCTTCGTCGATGGTTTGGTCGAAGGGCGTGGAGTTGAGCGCCCAGACGTATGATGCGCCAACTGTCTTGATGTCCATGATGAAAGTCTGATCAACCGCAGGAACAGGCTGGGGAAATTCGGGCGGGAATGAGACCATGGCTGCTTGACTGAAGAAGGCCGCATTATCAGAGGCGCCGGCGCCGGCAATGTTGATAGAAGGAATCGAAGAGACAGTGTACGCGTCGGTGGTGCTGTTCTTGTAGTTCCCGAAGCCACCGTCGTACGACAGAACGGCGTAGGTGTTAATGAGTTGGGTAAGGGCAGTGGATGCAAGCCGGATGCCATAGTTAGAGGCGCGCTTATTGAGCTGGACGAAAACGGAATACCGATCACCGTTCGCAACGCTAATCGCATCGACTTTCAATGGCTGAATGTAGTGGCCATCCACAGCATAAATCCACATCGGATGCTCGTCAATGCTGAACGAAAATGTGTCGATGCCGGCCGTGGAGATGAGGTCAAGCGCCATCCATTTAGCGGAGTGTGGTGCTTTTATGACCGCTCTGGAGCCTTGGGTTGGTGTGCAAACGTCAAATACAGATGGTGGGAGAGCGTCAAGGTTAGTTGGTGTACCTGAAGCCAGGAGCAGTTCTAAGATCTCTGGAGGCAGGCATCTAGGTTTGTCAGTTAACCCATCAAGACGAATGTATGTGACTTACCCCTTGTTGGTCATTTTCAAGTTGTTTTGCTCAAGGATCGGCTTGATTGCGGGGTTTGTGTATTGGTCGATATCCTCCCGAGACAAGCAGTTAACTGAGCCTTTTCCGTTGATCAAAAGGGAATCAATGCAGACGGCGCTCTCCACACCAGAAGCTAGCTGCAAATCCCATGTGCGTTGAGATGTAGTGTGGCGCCAGTCAGAAAGAACGAGAGGAGTAACGTTGGCCTCGGCCGCCTCAAGCGCCTCGACCTCAGCAGGGGCAATGGCAGCGAAAGGGTTTGACAATCCAGCCCTGGGCTTGATGACGATAGGTCCGTAGGCTCCATCGTCGATTTGACCACGACTATGGGCGTGATAGAAGTAGCTACCGTACTGGTCGGCATGCCATTTATAGGTGAAGCTAGCACCAGGCTGGATGGGACGTTGAGAGAAGCCCGGAACGCCATCAGCCCATGGAGTGTTCAGCTGCTCAATACCTGCAGTGTAATATTGAGTCAGTGATCTGCTACCCAAGAGAAGCAGGGGATCGACGTACCATGATAATGGATTGTGCTATTGTACGGCATGTTATTCTGAACAACAATCTCAACCCAGTCACCCTGATCAATTTCAAGAGTTGGACCTGGGAACTGGCCGTTGATAAAGATCATCTCTCGCTCGTATCCATCGGGGGCACCGATCTTCCACGTTAATTCGAGAGTGAAATGACAGTCCTTCGCAAATGCGTATACAACCAAGCCCAACCACAGAACCAATAACGAAAGCATCTCGCAAAAGGGTATGGAATGTGAACGAACGGAACAATTGACAGTAAGAAAAAGAGAAATAAGGAAACCAACCCTTCCAACGAGCGGAGTACTTGCAAATAATAAGGCTACAGGAAGGCCATAACAGCTGCCTTATGTATTCGGCCTCCTCATCAATAGCCTTCCGCGATCAAAATGTCGTATTATTGTTAGATGCTTAACGTGCTGAGTTTTGTCAGTGCTATTTTCCAAAATAGTAACTAAACTACCGTGGTGGCGCACGCCAGCGACTCACGGACTGTGAAGTTTGCGAGGGGGTTGCGGCGATGCTAACCGTTGTTCTTGGGGCTCCGTGGCCAAGAACGCATATCGGATAGAAGAGGCAATGAAAAGGCATGCTAGAATCTCTCCCTGCTAATTCTGCCTCTCATGTTAAGTCTGCATGTGAGCCGGTCAGCACTAGGGCACTGCACAGCACAGGCAGGCTCAGATTCTGCAATGATGTACATAGTGCTTAGACAGAAACTGCAAAGCCGCCTACACCGGTCTATTGTTATTGATAATGACAGCTGTAGGCCTTAGTTCTGACCTAAGCACCGTGTGTTGTCAATCCACGGCAGGCTGCAGAAGTGGCCGTGGGGCTGCCGACGAGGAGCGCGGGGCGGACTTCAAACAACAGGGCTGAGCATGGAAGAGCAAGAAAAGAAATTGAATTTGGAACTAGGGCGCGGCTGCGATCGGATTGCACGCGTGGAAATGTGGAGAATCTAAGATGGATGACAGGAGGAGGTGAAGTTTGGCCAAGCACCAAGGCGGCCCGCTCAGTTCGGTACTACAGCAGGCGTCGTGAACGTCGAAGATCGCCAACAACACCAACACCACCCTCGTCGGTCTCCGTTGTACAAGCCGAGGAGTTGGAGTCACCAGATCTAGGTTCCTACAAGCTTAAGCCAAAGATTACTTGAAGCCTTATGACCCAGGTGCATCTGGAGACACTCGATCCATTTGCCTCTTCAGCAATGGCTGCTCACCTCCACAGTCAGCAGCACACCGATATGCTTTGTAGATGATGAGCACATCCACATGAAACAAAACAGAACAGCTGAAAGATTGCCACCAAAGACAGGGTCTAAGCCTGAGGGGATGGCGGTACGGCGAGTGCAGCAGGGTTGTATAACCGTAGCTAATCCTTCAAGAACACAGCTTCTGAGCACGGAGATATTGACACCTACTAGTTAAAGCAATACCACATCTACAATCATGAGGACCAAGACCGTTTTCAATTGAAGGTACCCCTGCAGTCCACAAGATTATGGTTATTGATGAGGCCTTCCCTCTCAACAAGTCTACCAAAGTCACAGCCCTCGTAAATAGTGAGCATTTCATCACTAAGTTCTCTGAAAGCGTCTCTGTAGATAGTAAATAAGAGTACAAGCACAAACTCCAGCCCTCTTCTTTCAAGGTAAGTCAACAACACCGCCGTTACCTTCATTGACATGCGCAAAGCCCGGAAGCCTAAGCAACCCAAGCGCCTTTTCGTTATCTCAACCAACCAAAAGAAAGAAAATCCGTGTAGCCTAAGAACTGACGCGACCCGCGCACCATGAGGCTGATATTCAGCCCACATAGTAAGGTACTCCAACGTATAACCTATGAGACTACATGGGTTCAGGCTGAGCGTGAGTATCTTGCTAGCTTACTCCGCGACTACCTTGATGCTTCTGTCACTGAGCTTATAGAGCGCTCTAACTACAGGTTCAGCAGGGTTTCCGAGGAGAATTATAAGGAAGGCGCTGCGAAGAAAGTTGCCGAGCATCATGAAGGTCGTACCATTGAGCTGAGTATCTAATCTGCAAACTTTCTTATGACCAAGGGAAGGCCCCACAACTTAGAAAGACGACGAAGAAAAGGAAGGCCGAGGACGGAGATAACAACGCGAAGGATTCCGAAAATCAGCAAGAGCTTTCACCGACTGAACCGCCTCCGAATCCCAGATGGCGCAGCCGAAACTGAGGCTCTCAAGCCCAAGCGCCCTGCAAAGTCACCACGTCTCACGAGCCCAAGAAGAATACCGAGCCTCGCAAGAATGCTGAGCCAAATGCTAACAAAGCCACTAAACCCTGCAAGAAGGCAGGGGCCAAGAAGCCAAGGGCTAGTAAACCGAACGAGATTGAAGAATTCGTCCAAGACTGACGATTGAATCACTAAGATCTCTCGTAGATGCACCTGCAACTAAGCCTACACCTGCAAGTTCAACGGAAACCCCATCCCCATCCCCTCTACCCGGAGAGTCCAAGCTTTCCACATAATCCCGAGCGAACCGGAGCATATGATCCGAATGGGGGTTGTCCCCGCGACTGATCCCGAATGGGAGAAAGAAGTCGCCTTTGCCTCTTCTTGCACCTGTCCAGTCACTAACTCCGTCGCAAACCCTAGAGGAGCCCGTCCACTCAGATGCTTTTCAAGCTTTTGTTCAAGGCGAGGAGGTTTTTGTCCAAGAACAGAACCCGGTGGCGGAGCCCCCCATTCCGGGTCCAGGATACGGATGGCGCTCCACGGGTAGGTATTTGAGATCCCTGACGCTGAACAGTAAATTTATAGTCGAGAGTACCAGCACATTGGCACTTGACGAGGAACTTTTCGAACTGGACCTAGAGACAGATATCGAGCAGTTTTACAACCCTGTCGAGCAAGCCGCATCCAGAGAAACTCGACCCCCGAAAGAGTACGAGGCTGAACATGAGGAGTACGCGCAAGTCCTGCCTCTGATTATGTCTCAGAAATCCTTGCGACAGGAAAAGAGGTGCTTGAAGATGTTGACTGGTGAAGCGGATGGTGGTGAGGAAGAGGGTGTTGATTCTTCATAGGTGAGTTGATAACTCATAAAGAAGGGAAATCTGTAAAGTGGGTTCTCTTGCATTTCTGTTTTGATTGTTTGGTTTTCTGTCCATGAGGAAGCAGATACTGATTGACATGCCCAACAAGTTTGGTCAGTGTTTGACGGATTGAGCCCCAACAGCAGCAGCACTCATGTTCCGAGTGTATAATGTCCGTTTGCATCGATTCGGCAGCCAATTTGCTCATCTCTTGACCTGTCGAATGTAGTCCCGTTATATGTATTCTTGGTTCTTGGGGCCAATAAGTCTGGGAGGTGGCTAGAAGATTCGGCAGAAGAGCCTAGCTAAAGGTGCTAACAAATGCATGAATTAATTGTTCGTTATTTCGCAAACCCTTCATTTCTCAATTACATATACTTCATTATGATATCGATAACCCGTCTCTTTCTAAAAAATCGCTCAGTTCTAACCTCGGAAGCCCCTCGCACGAGTACTCCACTGTCACACGCTTATTAATCCCTCTCCCCATGCCTGTCCCTGTTCCTGTACCTCCCATTTCTTCTCCTTCGTCCACAGCCTCCGTCCTCATCCTACTACCCTGCCACATCTTCTCCGGTTTCTGCGGGCCCGTAGTAGTGGCCAAGGTGCTGCCCTTGACGAGTCGGAGGTCATCCAGACCAAGTGATCGATGATACCAGATCCGACTGCAGTGCTTCTGATTCTGTCCCATTGGCGAGCTGCGGTTGGACGGGCGGAGTCGGGCTGATGAGGGCGCCTCGGTCGGACCTATGCGCCAGAGACAAGTTTGGAGCAAGGGCTTTAGGGTTGCCATGCTGGCGGCCGTGATACCAATGCCGGGTTCGACAGTGGACCAGATTGCTACATCTGTGTTTGCCCCTTGGAAAGATGTGTTAGCGGCTAAAATGGTCGGTATGAGAGAGTGAGTCGGGAGAACGAAGGGAAGGGGAGGGAAGGGAAGGCAGGCTTACACAAGAAATCTTGTCCGTTGGTTAAGGAGTGAATGTATTTCATTCTGACGATTGTTCCGGTGCTTCCACTAGAGTGCCAGTCAGCAAGTGGATCTCCAGTAGTGGGAAAGAACGTTCACGGACATTGCAGCGAAAGCCAAGATTCCTGCTACCATGAATTTCGTCTTTAAGTTCATCTGCAGATCTAATACAATAAAAAAAGGTAAGATTCCTAGAGACCAATCCGCGAAGGCGTTTACAGCGCTGAGGGCGTAGGTGATTCCTGTGGTTGGCGCTTTGGGAATGCACCTGCTCGACGCTGGGTGATTATTCCAAAATTCCGAAACTGGGGGTAGTTAGTCAGTCGATATTGTTAGAGGGCTTCTAGCTTACCTGGGATACACTGAAAAGCTGCCATGAAGAAGTAACACCCGCCAAAGAACACCGTTCCAGTCATCAGTAGTTTGATAACCCAAGTATGCCAACGCTGTACTGCAACGCGGAGGTAGAAAATGCCGAGTGCGATCTTCAATGTACAATTGCTCAAGACGTACAGTAATTCGCATAGGTACCAAAATATCAGCGCGATTCTTGCATCTTGGGGTTCGAGGTCCCAGATGTGTTGGCCGGTTCCGTAGGCCACAGTCGTAATTTGGAAAGCCAGATAAATGGTGAAAATTGCCAACGTCGCAACCATGGACCAGTCGTCCTTACCAAAGGTCCTCGTGAGGAAATATCGCGTGTACACTCGCAATGCGACGGTCGCCCATGTGAGAATGAAAAAGAGGACCGCTACGGCAAGGACCTCACCGCTTCTGCCATTCATGATCCCACTGTTCGGAGGTTGTCTGAGAGACTTTGTGCCTGTTTTCGTGCTTGCGTCTGGTCAGTTGCACGCGTTGTTGTCGCTCCTTCTTGCATATGGAAAAGAAGACATCGGGGAAGACGCCAGAGTCGCAAACGAAAGGACAAGAAAAGAAGAGAATGAAGGAAAGATTCCGTCGTGGTCAGTAGTCGTTCAGAGTTTGACACTTTCTAGACGCCGAAATGTATCGTCCATCCTTGAAGCAGCATGGTCCCAAGGTTCGCACACGGCCTGCACGAGCAACGCTTTACGCCATCAGTGTTGTCCTGAATCATGAAACGCAATTAACTGTGGCTGATTCGACGGGGACCACGGTTGATCCCAGGTGCTACGCGGGGAAGGTTCCGATGATGACGCTAGCTTGGTTAAGGTGTAACACAGAGCTCTCCCTAAGAGGCTGGCTTCAAAGTTTAAAATGGCCAGCGCCTAGGTCGGATGTTATGCGAAATCGAATTTGTGTAAAATTACTCATGGGAGATAGTACGGCTAGGATGCGATTGGAGAGCGTGGGTTTCCGCGATCTCAGAAGCACAGCGCGAAACCATTGGCTCGAGTTTCTCTAATGTGTTGATACTGTCAAAGGTTACGGATTAGACAAGAAAGAAAAATATATGTGTAGTCATGTCATCTCGGAACTGCATAGAGACTTGAACACCGCAAGGATGAAATGCTGAGGGCAGCTATTGATGGATATCCTCTGTCGGCAATACTCGCGTAGTAAACCGGGGGTTATTCAGAGACAGGACGGTTGTTGGTAGTGAATGTTTCAAGCCACAAGCGGAGAATTGGGGCTGAGGATCGTCCCGAAGCCTGCAAATCTACCCCAGATTTGGTCCAAGCGCAACGGCGACGGCTTCCCCGCCACTGCTGCTGCCCTAATTCCTGTAATAGTGTTAGCCATGGTGTCTAACATGTCTATCTCAAGACTCTCTATCCTCCCACGCTCCTCCAGCAGATGTGCCTCGTCTACTCGGCCCGGCCGACTGTCCGGCAAGACCGCTCTCGTCACAGGCTCTTCCTCGGGCCTTGGACGAGCAATCGTAAAGGCATACGCCTACGAAGGCGCAAATGTCTGCTGCGTTGACCTGTACCCACATCTCCGCAACGCTACTAATCCCGATACCGGCAAAGCCGATCACCTGTACAACCGCATTGTAACTGGTACCCCAACTCACGAACTCTTAACGCACACGCATGGTGGGAAGCACGTCTTCATTAAAGCGGACCTTACGAGGGCTGAGGAGGTGGAAGGCGCAGTGCTCTCTTGCGTGAAGGAGTTCGGTAGGCTGGATATCATTGTCAACAATGCTGGGATTTCCATCGAGAGCACCCATCTGCGCCCAATGCGTATTCACGAGACCGATGAGGCGGATTATGACAAGACAATGGCAATTAATACGAAGGCTATGTTCTTGGGGTGCAAATACGCGATTCGGGAGATGTTAAAGCAAGAGCTTTTGCCGGACTGCATCGGCGATAGGGGATGGATCATAAACACTGCTAGCATTCAAGGCTTTGTGGGCTACTTCGGAACGCGTATGTGACCCGCTGTCGCCCACGGCTCAACACCCGAGCGAGTCTAGGCAATGACTGTGCACACAGCTTCCTATGCGGCTTCCAAGGGTGCAGCTGTTATGTTAACGCGCCAGGTCGCGCTAGACCAGGGCTTCCAACGAGGCGTAGTACTGTACGATTGGGCGATTTTGAGGCCTGTACGGGTGAGATTTTGTGTACGTTCGTACGACAGGGGGGAGGAGAGGTAGGTGTACGTATCGTAACTGTTACGGCTCACGTGATCTGTACGAGTAGTATGATTTGATTAAAGTACGCCGTACTCTAGTTGAAACAGCTAAGACTATGGGTCTCTAGAGACGCAAGATTAAGGTCTAATTAACTATAAAATAACTAGTTCTCCCTAGTAACAAGAGCAGATAGGACTAGATGAGGCCTGTAAGGCGGCAAGAGGCGTGGATAGATAACTCTGGAATAGAAAATGGTCTGTAATAGGCATTTTTGAGACATCCGTACTACGTACCGTACCTAGGGCATCATTAATCGTACGGTACGGCTCACGAACTCGGTACGTTCGTACTGAACACGTGACCGTTACGGTTCACTTTGTACGGACCGTAGTACGGCCCGTTGGAAGCCCTGCGCTAGACTATGGAAAAGAAAGAATACATTGCAACGCTCTCTGCCCTGGCTGTAAGTCCTAGTCGTCAATTTCTACTACTCCATTGGACACGTGGCCCTAGTCCTGTCTTAGCTGCGTTACTGCTCGCTACCTAACTACATGTCTCATAGTTCTCAAAACTGCAATGACACAAAACATCCAAAATGAGCCGGAGACGCTGCGGAAGATTAACGACGCCCATGTGCTTGGGGGAATGGGCGACCCGGACGATGTCGCTCGTGTTGCTGTGTTCCTGGCGAGCGACGATGCTCGCTGGGTTACCGGTGTGCCACTTCCCATTGATGGCGGATTCCTCTGCCAGTAGTCGATACGCCTAGCACTTACTACTCAGACCCCCGCATCAGGCTTCACGTCGTTCTTTGTTTTACGGAACTATGAAGCTTCGAAAGTTTCCTTGGGAAATTGTTTTGCCCTCTCGTCGTTCACTGGGCCTATCAAGCAGTAGTCACTTTTCTACATCAAGCACATCTTAGGTGCCATTTCAGCATCTTCCACTGCTACTACAAGTAGTTTGTGTTTCCTCAAATGCCCTGGGATTTTCTAGCGGCATGCTCCACGCTGCCTTCCTGCCTCGTCAAATCACTCACGGTGCAGCTTGTCTGGGAGACATGGTGCGCGATTGGCTCGGGACACTCGTTCTGCGATGATTGGTGGTAGCAAACGTGAGCCAAACTTGTAGCACGGGAACACTTACGCGTAGTGTTTGCCCATGTCCAACCCGCCAAATTGTCCCCAGATACTTTCGCGCTTGGTTTCCACAGAATGCTTGACATCGCTTGCTCTGTCAAGACTCCTTTCTATTCTGGCTCAAATATAAAGGAGCTTCCTCCGGTTCGAGTTGGAACTTCTCCTCTCAACGGTCACTTCCTATCGAGCGAATATAGTAGGGCTAGCGGAAGGAGATCTCTCCTCCTTTGCGCTATAGTCACTACTGACACATGGCTTCTGATGATGGTAAGGCCTCAGTGGCCTTCGCCCCTTCGACTTCTAGCTCCACTCCACTCGCTGAAGAACTTCGCTATTTCATCGTCCGGTCCGACAGATCCATGGTACCGCTAGTGCCGGCCGATCAACTTCCTTTTCAGCTTGAAGGAGTTCAATGCACGCTGAGTCATTGGCAAGTTGCGGTGGAGAAGTGGAAGTTCATACGGGAAACCATGGCATATCCCTCCCAGCTTGCGGTCCAAACATCCGAACAACCCCTTTCACCTAGACCCTTGGCCTCTGGTACGAAGACCTCAACCCCTCAGGTCAGCATCCAAGCAATATGTCAATCACCTCGCTCCCCTATATTTGTACCCTCTAATGCCAAAGCTAGAGGCGAGGGTTATGCTATGAAACTAGGAAGAATGCCTAACCGTAACTCTAACTTCCAACCTCCTCCGAGACCCAGGTCTCTCAAATGGTCTCAGGCAGAGTCTCCAGATCATCGTCATGCTACATGTTCTTCGACTAAACTTGGATTGGCTACTTCTGGTTTGGAAAAACGCCCGGTGGTAAGTCAATGCATCCCAAAGTGAAAGAATGCACTTCCAATATAAATCTACAGTTACCCACTGACGGCATTGTCGGCACTTTTCAGACAGAAGTACAGCGCTTTGACTACAGGCAACAACTTCTTCCTCCATCAGGCATCAAACAAGACCCGCCAAAGAAGGTATACTGCACCTATTGGCTTAGGCGTGGCGAGTGTGGGTATACAGCGAAAGGCTGTCGATACAAGCATGAGATGCCTTCTTTGAATGTTTTGCGCTCAATTGGTATTAGCTCTGTACCCAAGTGGTGGAAGGAGAAGGCTGCAATTCGAACCGGTGGTACATGGCACCAGCACCATATGAACGAGAATGAAAAGAGCCGCGAGTTATCAACCTACTCAGAGGATCACAATACCTGGAGTCAAATTCCCAAGCGAGAAACTCACGATGCGCGGCATGTAACTCTCTGGAACGAGACCGCTGACCTTCAGCACAATACCGCTATAAACGACAGTGAGAATAAGGCTACATGCGCTACTGAACCAAAAACAGCAGGCTGCACTCAAGGAGACCTAATCGTTCTCGACCAGCCTGCATTTTCTCCAAAACCACAGCTTCAGCAAGCCGTTCCGAGCGTCGACTTTCACTCCGTCTCTCGCCAGAGTTATGCATTCTCTTGTGGTTCTCCTTCTCTTTCACCCCCACCATATCCTGTACCGCGATCTTCTGTCCATCCACCTATTTCCCCTCAAAAGCCCCCCAACATTCTCCGAAACTCGGGTTCCTCGCCCTCAGTAGATTATCAACGGCGACACGAGCACAGGGGAGCCCAACAGACTAATCTTGCACCGCAGCCTCCATCCACGAAGAAGCTCGGTCAGCCAATGTCAAGACATGCCACTACTGATGGTGAACACGCCGAAGCCTCCCCCAACACTACTTACTCCCAACGCCACGAATTAGAGAGATCTCCCTCTAGTCTGCGAAAGCAAACCACCAACCTTAAGCACGTGGATCATCATCACGAAAAGTGCAGCCGCTGCCAGAAAACCTCTCACCGCGTAGATGGGTTCGCTTCAAGGAGGCCATCGAAGGATCACGTCTCGCTTACCTCTGCGCCAGCCGCGTCTACTGAACCATTTGTCGGCTTGATCTGAGAAAAGTCTCAGTCAAGGGTGTCTCCTCCCCGTAGTGTTCCTCTTCCTTTGGCTTTTGCAAGCCTAATATATTAGCTAGTGGAATTGGAATCAACTAATGGCGTTGTAAGCTTTAGTGTAATTGGTGACGTACTGGGACACTGTTTTGCTTAACCGAGAAGAGCGGCCGGAACTTTTTAGATCCTCCTTTTACTCATTTCAATCCATTACTTTGGTATTGTATACATAGTCATAGTTGGACACAACTGATTCCCCACAATTTCCCTTTACCATGGATTTTCCCTTTATCATTCTCCCATATCCAGGTATTTAATAGTCTCCATCGATATCAATAACAGCCTCACTTCGCCTTAACATGCTTTCCTTCCTCTCAATTCTCCCAACACTAGCACCACCTTCACTCACAATCTCTTCCATAGATCCGCTAAACAACAACCGCACAGGTCGCGGATCGCGGTCCGGACCTTCACGCGCCAAGCGTCCGTTGCATACTCGCATCACTTTAAGCTTCACGCATCAGGCTCGGCGCGATATAGCTTAATCGGCCGGCAAGGGTGAGTCGAATAATCGAAAGCGGTTTGATTGGCTGATGAATAGTGGTTTATGAGATGAATCGGCTAAAGGCCGTTGCTGTAGATTTGTTTGAAACACCCCCCACAGGAGCTTCCGGCGAGCGAAGCTCGCATAACGCCCACACAATGAAGTACCACCTCGAGAGGAAGGAATCCTCGAAGCGAGTGTGCGTGCGCTTGTGCGTCGTCCCTGTATCAATTGCCGATCCATTATTATATCGTTCTACGTCTCACGGGTCCACCTTCCATCGTCGCTCTACTCTCCCCATCTCATCCCCAATCCAATCTCCAACACGCCGCAATCTCTTACCCCACAATGAAACCCCCATGCACCGTGCAAGGCTCCGGGCCAGTTGCTGATATGAACCCGCTGACACCCCACCAATCCGAAGCTATGCATTTCAGATCTTTTATCTGGGCAGATTGACGATATGTGCACGCCGCATATGAAGCCTCATATCCATCTATCTGCACATGCTGTTGCAACTGCCTTGGATACCTGGGTTTATAATTTGGAATTTGGGAGTTGGAGGGAAGGAAGTGTAAGCGGAGAGGGCGAGAGCTTTGGTGGCTCAGCGAATGAGCGGAAGGGGAATGATGATTTTGCCTGGGGTTTGGGAGAGGTATAAAGCGAGGGGAGATTGGGGGAGGAGGTGGATACCAGGGAGAAGAGAATCTCTGAAACGTGACGATCTTATTTGTGTCTGTTTCTCTCTGTGCGTGTGTGACTGTCTTATTCCCTCTCCAATCGTCAGCTCTCTCTGTTTTGTCCCTCAAAATCCCACCTCTCTCCCACCACCAGCCTCCCCAGCAGTCAAGATGAAGTTCTCCGCCTTCCTCCCTGCCCTCCTCGCGCCTGCCGCACTGGCCCAAAGCGTAGTGCCCTCACCCTACACAGATGCGAAGTCTGGCATCACATTCAACTACTTCATGGACGCCAAAACCGGCTACTTCTTCGGCCTCGCGCTGCCGGCCGATGGATCAAGCACCGACCTTATTGCTACGATCGGAGGCAAGGGCACGGGATGGTCGGGCGTCAGTCTGGGAGGAGCTATGTTGAGTAAGCTGTTGATTGTTGCGTGGCCGAATGGCCAGAATATTGTTAGTTCGTTCAGGAAGACAGCGTATGTTTCCCCAATATTTCTTCTGGTAATTTTAGGAGCTGGGTGGCGGGTAAGGGGAACGCTCGAAAGGTTGAAGATGAGACCGGATGACATGGCTATGGAACAAGCATCCATATGAGACACTCACCGTATATGAAAAAAATATAAGTCAACTGCTAACAGGCTTGCCCGTGTGACAGACAATACGGCTCCCCAGCGGTCGCGACAGGCACCTTCACCCAGGCCGTCATTCCCAATGGAACTTATACCAACTCGACGCACTGGACGTACACGTTCCTTTGCGGAAAATGCATCCAGACTGATAAGACGACTTTCGCGGTTGCCGACAACAACCCTACGCTTGGATGGGCAATAGTATGACTACCCTTCTATTTCCCCACTCTGGTATGGGGTTTATAGGCAAGTGCTGATGCCACTCAAAATAGAACGCCGCTGCCCCGAGCGCGAAAACAAGCCCTAGTGCGACGATTAATAAGCATACGAACGAAGGTGCTTATCAGATGGATTTGTCGAAGGCGAAGAGTAGCAAGTTTGACACTTGGAAGGCGTATGCTAGTGCGCCGAAGGTCTTTATGGCATAACAGCAGAATGAGAAGTAATAAAAAGCCCAGTAAGGAGTGGGGGGCTTATGGCGAGAACAGCTGGAGAGTATGTATATAAGATGGCTGATTGGGAATGTGAATACAAAGGTTGTTGAACATCGAACTTGTGAATAACAAGATTAGATAGGAGATTTGAATCTGAGATTTATTTACGTTGTATAAGGCCGGTTCCGTGCCTCAGCTGTTTGCATAGGTGCTTGTGCGAGTACCATAAAGGGGATCCCTCTTTTCTAGTTGGGTGCTGGTACGGCATGTGTGCGGATCCGGATTGCCACGTGGTATCTCCCTTGAAAGGATTCTGACGCCTCGCATTCGGGTCGTAGAAGTCAGATCTCGGGCGGCATCACTCGTGAGCAACACGGTATCATTGCAGCGGTCAGACTTGAAGTCGCAAGATGGTATGACAGATCGTATTATTATTTCATCTCCAATAAACCAAATGAGATGAGTTTCCGGGTATGATAGCATCTTTCGATTTCTGGGTTTCAATTCATGGCCGTCCGAGGTGGGAAGAAATACATCGAACTTTTGAGGCTCCTGGACGTTATTACACGTGGATGCAGTTTGGCTTGTGATGCATAGGACGTCCGAAGAAAACACACAAACGTATTGAAATACTTAAGCCTGATCCCAAGTACCAAGTACTAGCATCGGGCGCGACTGCCTGGCTAGAGGGTTCCAAGTCAGCAGCCGCATCCTGTCTCCACCGGACAAAATTGCGTACCTGCAATAGGACTTTAATAGGTTACCGCAAGAGTCTAGACAATCCTTTCCATCTGAGCAAAATTCCACTTCATTCGGTTCCAAACATGGTTGTCTTGCACTTAGCCTGAAACTCCCAAAACGGAAATCCACTTTAAATTGGTGCGGTCCGGAAAATCACCAAGGATGCCACACCCCGGCTGTCCACAACCCCAAGCGCTCGAAAACACGGAGCAGCTACTGTAGGATAGATCAAAGCTGTATGGCGGGATTCGTGGGATTGGTGCACATTATACCAGGCGCTTCAGCTGGAAGTGAAAAAGCTTAGCAGCGGCTTGCACACCGGAGGGTCTGGGCTCCGGGCGGATGCTTTACCTGTTACACTGTAGGGCATAGTATTGAGAAGCGGACTTTTCGCTTTGAGAAGGGTCTAGCACCGGTGGGAGATTCGCGGTTTAGTGTTTTTCGTTCGTCTTTTTACCATTTAGGTTCCACCAGTGGTGTAATACGGCCGCAGTGAGTGAGGATATAGAGATTATACTGCATAGCGTGTCGAGCGGCGCAGGAGTACCATGTGGAGTGATGGCACATATTGTCCGTCCCGGGCAGGGCACAATAATCCTTCTGTTATATTTGGCTGGCAGGACCCTGCTGCCATTCCATTAGGCCGACGATCGTTCCTGTTCCACCGCGCGAAAAATTCTGAATCGGCCTTGTGGAATCTAGTTCTGCGTTGCGATTGTGGGGTCCCCCGGATTTCCAAGTCGCTGTAAAACACATCCTGCGTATCTTTCCTCCTATCTCTATCTCTTGACTGCGAGTCTCACTCCCTTCCCAGTCCCCTGATCCACCGGATTGCACCGTCCTATAGGACCGTCTGGAGAATATGGGACCCCGCTGTTATCGGTCGCCCCTGTTGGGTTTCTTACCCCTCACCATGCTCTTGATGACGGTTGATGCTGCTGTGAAGCCTTACATCACCACCTCGGCGGATTACTCCACGGAATGCAAAGCATGCCCGCACTCGCTTTGTACGAATAAGCTTGCATATGGAGGAGGGGATGCTTTCAATACCACCTGTTGGACAAGAGGGACCAAGATCATGGGTGATAAGTAAGTTAACTTGGAAATATCAGTTGAGGTTGGCAGGAGGCTGACGCACATATCTATAGCCTCTGGTTGAGGAGTGAAGCCGGATGCTATGTGACGCAATGGGATGTTCAGGAATATGAGGGAGATTGTAAGCCATTCGGTTTGTCGCTCGTGAAGGAAGAATCTGATGAGACTGTATAGACACCAAGGACTTGAAATATTGTGGTGCGCACTCAGAGGTAGAACATATAACAACGGAAGACGCAACACTCCAGTACAAGACCGAATGCCGAATATGTCCGGAAATCGATTGCGATGTTGCCGCATACTTGCCGGAAGAAACGGACGTTACCTTGACATGCTGGACGAAGGAAGGCCAGATGGTGATTGACGACCCGTGAGATGATTTCCAAAGCGTTACTTGAGATATTATCTGCTGACAGTTGGATTAGATACTGGATGAAGACGACAAACAATTGCTATGTTGCGGAGATTGGTCTTTACTCCAAGCCGGATATTACTTATCTTGACAACTGCGGCCCGATTCCTTTCCTCGAGATCGAGAGACACTTTAACGAGAATGGAACGTCACAAATAGATAAACGACATCCGTTGCCCGCACCAATAGGCCAGAGCGCGAATTATCTCATCAACGTTACTGTCGGCGAGGATAATGCGAAGTGTCGAAGCTGCCCGAAGGAGTCCTGCAAAGTTGAGAAACGGTATCCCTTCAATAAAGAGATCTGGTTGCAATGCTTGGTTGAGAACAACGGTACCTGGTGGAGTGAGACGACTGATTTCTGTTACATAAAGAACTCGGATATTTGGCAGAGTCCAGAAGGTGACTGTGAGTTTCGGGTGTTTAATTCTGCGAGACGGGCTGCTGACAGATTGTAGATTACCGAAACCCGCTTTGCGCGTATTTCGATGATCCAGGGTCAAAGTAAATAAAGGAAGAGGGAATACCTGCATGAAAAGATGGAATATTAATCCGATAGGACAGCTTGCCGAAGACATGAAACTAATAGATCATGCAACCCGACAAAGGCAGCTTGTACTCTCAGCTACTAAAACGTGTAAAATTACAATTTACTGAGTTCTGTTAGCTGTCACTAGAAACAGGTGGAGAGTGGCGTAAATGACTGACATCGATTTCCGACAGAAGACTAAGTTGTGAGAACCGTCGCTATATGAACTGAAGACGCAAATGATGATCTTGAAGAAGAAAGCGCAGAAATTTTATCAATGCGCTCGAAGTGAATACGAAAATGGAAATTAAAAATAGAGTTTAGCAATGTGGAGGTTTTTAGAACACTCCTGTCTGTCGTCGTTGTATCGTATCTAAAACTTCGAAATTCCTAAATCCGGATTGGCGCTTCTCAATAAGGCGAAGAGTTGGGGGGGGTGCTTTAGTGCGACGGTGCCGGTTCTCTCTCCAAGAAACAAACCAATCGACGATTGCGCCACCATAAAATGCGAGGAATATAGCGAAACCAACAGTACCAACTGTAAGGGCCCCAGATATAATCCAGAACAAACGCTGTGTTGCTTCCATGTTCCGGATATCGGAGAAATTCACTGCCAGGTGTCACCCAAAATGGTAGCAAGGAAGGACAGATAGAACACTTACTGCCAAAGAAGCTGGATACAAATGACAATGGGAGGAAAATGATAGTGACAATGGTAAAGACCAATATCGCCTTCCCGTGATCCTCCAGGCGGATATTTACCAATTGGATTGTGCGATTAATCAACGAGTTGCTGTTCTCTCGGAGGTCACAAAGGTCGACGTATTCCCTCTGAAGGTTCTCTAGGAGTTGGGCTGTTGGGTCCGACAGACGCGAAAATGAGAGTTGTCTGTAAGTTGCCCGATCTGCATGCGGGATGGATCCGGTTGGACGGTGCTGGAAGGTGCGTGTAGAGCTGTGAGATTGTCCACGATTCCTCCCGTGTTTTAAAGTATCTTGGAGATTCGTCACCAGCTCAATTTGCTGGTCCATGATCTGAATAATGATATTGAGCTCTTCTTGAACTTGCAACAGATCCATGACAAGTTTTGTGCTAGGGCTTCTGTGAAGCCTGTACTGCAGGTGACCCAGATAGCTTGCATATCGGTCCGAGAGACAAAGTGTGATATCAGTCCAGAAGCTTCGGTGCAGCATTCCCAAGGCACCACTTAGCGCAGTAATAATATGAGTCGCTGACGTATAATCCTGCTCCGTAGAAGAATTGAGAAAAGCGTTACGAAGTCCACGAAACGAGATTTCCATGATCCGAGCAGACAGTTGTAGGGGGGGCCAACGAGATTTCCAAGACTGATTGCTCGAGAAGGTGACAACATGGCGAGAGTCAACAACGAGAATCCAAAGCTCGTCAACGTTCAAGCCTGTTGGGTAGTGACCGTACCAACGTCGGACTTTCAGATCCAACGACCGGTCAGTCAGCCAGGGCCTATGTTTGGTGAACACCTGTGCTATGTTAACGACATCTCGAGTTTGATGTCAAGGCAGGACTTGCTTGCAAAGGCTCACGATCTGTGGTATCTTCCAAGCGATAGAAATGCTGCAAGATGGACCTCAGAAGATGCGACGACGTCTTACTAGATTGGTAACCTTCGCGAGGATCTACTTGGAATCGTAATGGAGGCGTCTGGCCCTCAACCGTCCAATCCATAAACGGTACGCTGAGTAGCATAGGTCCTTCTTCTCCATCATCTTGTGAGCCACCATGTTCTTTTTTGAGAAGCTCTTGAAAAAAGGGCGCGAAATATCTACCATGCTTCGAGAATCGTTCATTTTGATAGACGCAATGATCCAGCTGATGGAGGGCTGCCACAATGTCGGAAGGATTCTTACTCCAGTCTGAAAGCGCCAGTAGACACTACAGAAGAATTAGTTAATTTTCTCCGAAGAGTCTGTATGGATCTTCCTCACCCCTGATAGATAGTCAGAGTACTTGCTCGAGATGTGTCTAACAATTTGTCAGCCCAAGAACGCGATTCAAAATCCAAAACCTACATCCATCTGCTTTTTCGATACTCGGGAGGATCGTAAATAGACTCCTGGACCCCTCTACTGCGAAGGCAGTTCATCCAGCCATATTCAGTAGCTAGCGATCGCAGGTGACTTTGCTCATTCTTGTTCTTCGTAGCTTCTTCTAAAGGGAGACTGTTGATTAGTTTGTCTCGCCCTTCTAACTCAGGAAGTAGTGTGGACGAGTAAATTTCCTTCATCTCCAGCATAGGCCCAACATCGGTCCTCAATCCTTCCAGGCGTATGTCGTGGACCTGGATCTGGGCAGGAGACAGACGACGAGTGCGCCAGTAGGAATCAGCCTGCCAGTCCACCTGCACAGGGGAGCCCTTTGCATGATCCATAGCAATCCGGGTAAGAATACATGTCGCGAAAGAAGATGGTGAGAGTGTGGAGAAGCGAATGGCAGCCACGATATTTGGGGTTACGAAGGCTGAGACGGCGGCGCTGGTGTGGCTGGAATGGCTAACCGCTTTGGTATAACTTGCTCGGCCACATGAGGCGAGTTTCTCACCACAATCCTTTGTTCTGCACGATCTTTTCTTCTCAATATGTGTCCTGTTCCCGAAACTGATGCTTCCGGACTGTTAGACACACACCACAATTCTTACCTTTACATTGGCCCCAATTCGATCATTCTGTGCGACCTTAGGTTGGACTCGGCTCTCCGCAGCCACCATGAATGATGACATTAGCCCTAATCCTCCCTAATTGATTTCTGAAGTCCCCTGGCGACTTCACATCTTACGTATCTACTTAGTTGGCTTCCTAGACACCGGCTTTTCTGGCACCATGGCCAAGTTCGATAACTCCGCCCCATAAACCTCTTTCTCAAGCTAACATCATCTAGTCATCCTAAGCATCCCGCGACTGTCCATTTCCCCATCACCTTTATCACCCTGACCGGAGCTCTTGATGTGTTGTACTTGGCCTCAACCCATCCTACCACTGCAGGTCTTGTCGCCTCAGCCTCCAAGACGCTGGATGTGCAACTCTCTCCCTCCATGATCCCGCAGCTTTCCTACTATACAACTCTGCTCACCCTCATTACCGCGGTGCCCGCAGTTCTGAGTGGAGCGATCGAACTGATGCCGTTAATCAAGCGCAATGGTTTCGGTTCTCGCAAGGCGCAAATAGGGGTCCTGCACGCTATGTTAAACGACGTCGGCGTGTTCGGTTCTGCATACAACTGGTGGACTCGCAGGACGGTAGTGGGATTCGAGCCGAGCGGAACAAATGTCCTCATCAGCTCTGTGCTCGCTCTTCCCACTTGTCTTTTCGCGGCGTATCTCGGTGGTGCGTTGGTCTACACATATGGCATGGGCGTGGGCCGGGGCAGGAACAAGGTGAAGAAGGCACAATAAACTATTGGGAGGAGCGCATGGTACCCGCTGGAAAGGCTCTGTGGGGCTCGCACCTGGATTTAGGGTGCGTCAAACCACCACGAGACTTCTACCTTCAAAAATTTCCCCATCTTTAACAATATCAAAATTCAACGATGTTTGTAATAACTTCGGTTTCGCTGAGCCTATATCGTTGCGTTTGTGTACCAGTAATAGGGATTTCGGAGGTGAGGTCTTAGCTCTCTCCCCGTGATGACCCATCATAATTAGGATATCTGTAACCCCCTGCGAACAGCAATTGCGCGTAGAAAAGGCCGCCATGATACCGTTGACGTCGTTTTGCACATAGGAATACCTGGCCATTACTTTTCAGAAGTCTAGTGACGCGCAGACTTCATTATTCAATACAAGAGATGCGTTTCAGGTTCTTTTCTTAAATATTCGAGCTTAGGTACAACAATAACGCGCAGATTTTCCACTTTAGCACAGGTCTACTAACTTATAAATTTCTTTCAACCACCCTCTATGATCTTCATGAGTAGTTTTACGGTTTTGAGGCAGCGGAGCCGCACAAAAAGATTCCCTTCTCTGATTAGTACACAGCGAGCTATCTCCAATCGTAGAAAATCCTCGAACTCACAAACAGACCGAAGTTAGGGCAAAGTAACAATGGGGGAATATCTGCACCCACGCTAAAGATCCTCTAATGATACGATCAGTAAGGTGCATTGACGCCGTTTGAAAATAGGGTGAGAGGGGTTTTGTTACAGAAGAGATGCCACCACCTGGCATGATCTTGTCATTCCGAACCACTCTCTACCGTAAATAACGTCATTTTGGTAGCGAATAGCCTGTGAGAGCAGAGGCCGTGGATTTCCTGCTTGTTTAGGTGCCTGCGGAAGCTGCCTGCGCCTTTCCTGCTCGAACTTACTGCTTACCTTCTACACCCTCCGGACATCGTGACGTTCTTCAGGTTCGTGTTTGCAACTACCCCCGCTTTCCTACGTAGCAACCAGGTAACTGTATCCTCGGCTATATTTAAAATGTCATTAATCAATGCTAATCCCTTCTTCCCCCTGGATTCAGTGTGGCAAATTCTAATATCACAAGAGCTAACTTTGCATTTAGTGCCAAGCCTTTCGCCCCTTTCACTGTAGTCAGTACGGAGACTGAGGGTTTCAGTTCAGCCGAGTTCTCCGCGTGAGGGACGGTCACATAGCTGCAGGTGATATTTTTCAGAAAATCTTCTTAGAAGTCAAATTCCCCAATACAGTGAGTTTAGCAGCGAGAATTCCGACTGGCTCAATCCGTGCTCTACATCAAATACACTGGAAATGAGACTGTAGCTGCGTCTTAGATTGGAGCAGGAACTTCTAAAGCATAGCCCTTACTAACACCGTGGTCAGAAGTTCCAAGTTAGATCTCAGAGCTTATTTCGCGAACAATGCCGGCCACATATACGAAGTCTACCGCCTGTACTCCGACCCCAACGACACCTTCATCGAATCTCTTGTTGCTATGGGTCCTCTCCGCGGGCGCAGTCGGACAGAAAATCGCCATTGCGGTTCCCTTCGTGCCAAAACTGAGGAAGACTATTAACTAGAGTTCTCTAGAGTGAGGTACCGGAGTCGGCGCCGGTGGCCTAGCTCAAGTCGAGGGCATGTACGGAAACAACCTTTCGCACGACCTTGTTCCGCTGAAGCATAGCATGCCCTTTAGCCCTATACTCGACACCCCAGGGCTTTTGGCATGGGATCCCATCAGGTGGGTGGCAGCAGCGAGGGCCACGCGCGACGCCTCCATAAACTTCACGACAACCTATCTAAAATCCATCACAACACTGAACCAACCGACCTCTCCCGACACGGTAGCGGACGCCCTCATCTCCCTCAGCAAAGGAGCAGCATTCCTTTCTATAAATGCCACACCCTTCAACCTCGCCTCCACCTTAGTCACCGAGAACCACCCTTAGAACTCCACCTAGTCATTCCCTTCCCGATTCTCACTTCCCAGCAATAAATCCTCCTAACCCGTGACCGCTTCTAGGCTTGATATACCGCCAAATAGAATTGGGGGTGCCTAGTCACTGACCTCATACACTTCCTCCAATGTGGTTGGAACGGAAATTCATCCACAGGCGTCGAAGAAGACGTTTCTAACAAAGAGGTCTTTATGAGCTAGCTAATCAGGACCATGCTCGTGCCGGACGGGCAAAATGTTTGAACAGTTTGCTGATGTATGTCGGCAGTTCGGGCGCTACGGTGTATCGGAACACGGATTTTGAGCTGCTGGTGCCGCCGTTTAACTTTAGGGATAGAGAGTAATTCGGGCTTTTCTTAGGCTCCGGATGTTATTTTGCCTAAGAGGTCTTTCCCTATACTCTTATTCTTTTCTTTATATATATTGCTTAAAATGTCGGCGGATTTCAGCGCGATAGAGCCCGGATAGGCAGCTAACAGGAATTCGTGTCAGTGGGCGTTGTTCAACTCTACGGTCACACACATCAAGTGGAATTTCCTATGACTGCCAACTTCATTACCGCAAAAGGGTGAGATGGAATGCGTTTTAGTCTGACAAGAGACTTATATCAAGCAAGTATCATTAAGAAAGCGCAAGCCGACAACACTAGGATTATGGATAGTGAAATACTGTTCTAATAAGATCTGGATGTAGTGAGTTATGGATAGGTGATGGATATGGGGTCGGGGCTTCTACTTTCTAGTGGCCCATCTATTTACGGAAAGGGTATAGAAGATTTAGTTATTCCCTCAGCTTTCAGACCCCAATGAATACCGGCTGGGGATGCGGACCGAGGACCTAATGCTTTCCCCCAATCTTCCCCGCGCCTCTGAAAAAAACCAGCACCACCACCAAGGCCGCCACACCGATGCTCAAGTTAAACCAAGACGCACTTCTCAATCCAGCTTTTAATGCCTCATCCATAGGCCTCAATCCTTGACCAGTGCTACCAATAGCCTCAACACTTAGTCCCTTCTCCCTCGCAATCACGGCCGTCTGCACTGCCGTCGCAATCGCAAGCCCAATCGCCCTTCCAACTTGCCCCACTGCATTAATCAACGCTCCACCCAACGCCTGATCCTCCGGTGGCAAGCTCTTTGCCGTGAAGAGCGTAAGAGCAGGATACAAGGTGTCGGCGCCACAGACACTAAGAACCATAGCTGGAAAGCCGTAAGCCCAGTACGTAGTCGATGCGGGGATGGGGATTGCGAAGAGCAGGGAAGAAATGGACACGGAGGCTGTGCCAAAGGTAAGAAGGAAGTCGCCCCGTACTCGCGAGAGGAGCTGCGCGGTTATGAAGGCCACGATGACGCCGCTTACACCAGTTGGAATGAAGCGGATCGTGGTTTGGATTACAGAGAGGGCGAGGTAGTCTTGGAACCTGAGCTTTGTTACTTTTCCTGAGGTGTTGGGTATGTGGAAGGGGATATGGAGGAAAGAGGGGAAGTCACCAATAGGTAGCGAATATAAGAAAGTTATTAAACGAAGCAAAGAAAAGTAGCATGATAATATTTGCAGCTGAGAACCTCACATTCTTGAAGATGGAGATCTTCATCAACGGTCGTCTCTCCGTTTTGTTCTCCAAATACCACTCCCATACCACAAAAACCGCGATTATGAACATCGAGACCGCGATAAGAATAGGTATCCATGATATACTCCATCCGACTACGTTGCCTTCAGAAAGAGCGAAGAGAAGGATGAGTAGGCCGACAGTGATCAGGGTGCCGCCGACCCAGTCTACGGATTTACGGATGCTGATGGGCTCTTGTTGGAGGGATGGAAGAGGAATTACAAAGTAGCCTGCAATGGTGACGATGAAGGCTAGGATGGCGAATATCCAGAAGACCCATTTCCAGTCAAGATATTCACCGAGGACACCGCCCTATATCGTGTTAGTGCGGATCAGCAAAACACTAGAGAGCCATACGAAGATGTTGCCAAAGATGCCTCCTAGAGGTGCTCCAGCTCCTATACATCATTAGTATGTATGTTGAAGAAGAGAGCGGAAAGAGAAGATCTCACCATAGCACGAGAAAGCATAATTCTTCGCTTTCCCGGGAGGGAACGTAACTCCGAGAATTCCGATAGCGGTCGGTACCATCGCAGCCGCACCTAACCCCTGGAGACCTCGGAAGACATCGAAACCGATTTCATTCGAAACGAAGGGTACAACAAGAGATGTTACGGTGACCCAGATAGACCCCCATATGAAAATTAATCGCTTGCCGTAGACATCTGCTAATCTTCCCCAAAGTAGCTTTACTAAAGTTAGTCTAGAATGGCAAGCTGACGGAAGGTGGGCGTACGAGGAAGCACCCAAAGGTAAGTGAATACGCAGAAACAATCCATTGCTGCCGAGAATCTGGGATATCTAGTGCTCTTCCGATCGTTGGTAGGATAATGACGGTTGCTTGAACACCAAGCGTCTGCATACTATTAGCGAATACCGTCAGCATCCTGAATCTGAAGTTTTACATTCAAGAACGCAGCCCCGGCAACTGTCGAAACGAGGGCGATACATCTCCCCCTTGAAAACGGCAATTCACTTCCTCTCTCCTCGTTGCCCTTATCACCATCACTATCTCCATTCGCCACCATTCCATTCTCCTCATCTTTCACATTCCACGGCTGTTGCGCCTGCACGAGGTCCGCCTCCTGTCCTAGTATATCTTCCTTTTCTTTCACATCGTCGTTTTCTAAGCTTATTCTCTTTTCCATAATCGGCGGCTAGCAACATATAGTGGTGGAAGGATTCTGTAGCAAGAGCTCCATCCAGACAATTATTTCAACTTTTAAACGTTAGCGATAGCGGTAGCGGCAACTCGGTCTCGGCATCAAATAACTCGCTAATCCGTCTATGTGGGGTCGTGGGAGCGAGGAGCGAAGACGGAATAACCGGCAGGATTGGTGAGCAGGCACGGGGCTTTTCCGCTCCAGTTGGGCCGTCCTTAAGCGTAACAAGGCTGGGAAACTCGAAAGAGAACAGAAAGAGAATTTAAGTTGGGAAATAGGGTAAAGAAATTTGCAAAGATGATAAGCAGCTGGGGTTAGTATCGAGGATAAGGGATCACAAATGGCATGGTGTCTGAACAGGAGTTGCGCTGTCCCAACAGTGAATTGACCAATCATGTTGCGTGATTCGATATAGGGAGCTTCCTCAAGTCTTGACTCTTCATGAAGTAGAAAGGAGATTCGAAGATAGTTAGCTACGGCGGACTGTTAGCTGGTGAAGGGAAAAAACTAATCGCCAATCACTTAGGAGCATTTTAGGTATAAAACACTATAGTATTTTACTAGGCAAAACATACTATAACGCATTTATACAATGTTTTTTAAAGATCTAAGGAGTAAAGGGTTGTTTTACGTAACTGTATTGCAACTGCCCTTTATAGCAACTGCCTTTACTACAGCGTTGTACAATAATTGTAGATACTTACCGCCACCACCACTCTTCCACATCCACTACTACTACAGCAGTAGCAGCAATAACAATAGCAATAATAGCAACAACAGCAGTAACAGCAACAGCAGCAGCAGCAGTAACAACAACAATAATAATAATAATGTAGGCATTAAGCCTACAGTATTCTAATTACTCTTGTTATATAAAGCTAACACTTAAAATAGAGCTTTTATTCTTTATAATGCTGCTGTTACTGCTGCTAACTAAGCTAGCGCTAATGTTAATTCTGTCCTACATGTAGGACAGTAGCAGCTAGCCCTACTAGCTTATAGTCCACAGGCCTGTGCATTGCTAGCCCTTCTAGGGCAGGATGTAGAGTTTATATATAGCAGTATATCCCCTTATTAAATAGCTTTACATAGGCCTTTATATATTAACGCTATTCTTATATAATCTTGCAGAAGGGTAGTAGACAACCTGTGCAGCGCATGCTATAGCGCTGTCTCAGGCCCACAACTGTTCCTAGAGTGCTGCTGCGCTAAGGGGCACTTTAGCAGAGCATGTAGTAATTATAAATAGCGTAACTATGCTAGTTACTGCTTTATAAAAGAAAAGAGTAATAATAAGCTAGCTAGTAAACCTCTATGTTTAGGCTATAACTTAAGAATTAATAGTGCTAGTAATAGTTTATAGTAGTAGCTTATTTTTATTAAAAATAAACTTACTAAAGCTTTAGCTAATAATGTAATAGTTTTAGCTTAAAGTATATATAATATTTTTTTTAAAAGCAGTAAAGCGCCCTAGCTATAAAGGTTGTCTATAGCACTTAGCTATATAGAGATGTCTGTAGCACTTAGTTAAGGCCTATACCTCTGCGCAGTAACTAGGATAAGTAGCTGTTAAACAGTAAAACTAAACTAAGCTAGTAAATAAAAAAAATAAATTAAATTATTATATAAAACATACTACTTTTTAATACTACAAAGCTAATAAGGCACTTAAGAATTAATATTAAATAGCTAAGATAGTGCCTACTTATAATTATATAAAAGCATTTTTTTATTTTTTTTATTTTTAATAAAGCTTAATTTTTACTTAACTTTTTTTTTTTTTACTAGCTTCTTCTCCTTCTTAACCTTAGTCTACTTAGTAAGGAGTTTATACAAAAAGATCTTATTCTAAGCTACTATAGTTGCCTTATATACTAGGTATAAAGTTATGCTTTAGTTACTCTTTTTAAAGTATCTACTTTTTAGTAAGTTCTTAATTATATAATAATCCTTAGCACTTTTTAAAAAATATGTAACATAATCTTTACTAACATCTATAATAAGATATAGTTTAAAATAGCCTTTAGTAATTAAAAAATTAAATTATATAAGCTTTTTAAAAAGGCTATTCTTAACAAACTTAGTATAGCTTATAAGAGGCGCGTTCTAAAGCTATATCTAGGTCTAATCTACTATGTATTAGATATTAGCTAATATATAAGAGGGTATTATACATAGCTATTTAATACTATTAATTTACTTACACTTATTAATTACCTTATATTATATAAAGTAGAGAATTACAAGAATAGAGAGCTTAGCTATTATATAGCCTTAAATAAAAAGTAAAGATGTACACTAGATTAACTACTAACATGCTAATTCTACTAGTGTACATAAAGCAGCTTATATAGAAGAGATAAACATTCCTTTTTTTACACTTTTAGGTGTATTCTCTAGATAGATTATCTCTTCTTTATCTTATATAATTTATGTAGGTATAAAAGGTTAAATTTAAACACTATAGTCTAAACAAAACTTATATTTAGTAGACTACTTACTATAAAACTATTTTATAGTAAGATAAAACTTATCTTAGGCACTTATAGTAATAATAGATTATATGTTATACAAGAAAAAAAACTAAAAAAAGAACTAAAAAAAAAACTATAAAAAATTTAAATATACTATAAAAAAAATAAAGGCTTAGTTACTACATCTACATAAATCTACTAAGCTAGATTAGAATTAATAGGCATTTTTTTACTAAAGTTAGTTTTAAAATTAACATTTTAAACTATGTTTTAATTACTCTAGTTAAATTAGATACTTTTATATTAAGCATATTATATAAAACTTTACTTACTAATTTTACGCTTTAATAAGTAACTTAAGCAGAGATAGTACAGGCTAAAGACTGTTTTAGATATAGTATTATACTTTTACTTAAAGCTAAAGATAAATATCTAGATATAGTGTTGTATAATTCTAAAAGTTAGAGTAAGCTGCAGCTACGCTGTTAAATCTAAGCAAATCTAGTACCCTATTGCACTACTAAAGTGTATTCTATAGGAGGTAGGCATCTATATTCTAACTATTAACCCTTTTCTTAATTATATAAAGCTAATTAGTATTAAATAAAAGAGCCTAGTTCTAGACATAGGCTCTAGAATAGTAATAAAGCATAAAAGGCTTTTTAACTACACTGTTTAGACAGTTCTTCTGCCTTTAAATTAAATATGTGTTTTATAGTTATACAAAGCTATATAGTTTCTTATAAAGTATAAAAATATATATAGTATAAATAGTAAGCTAATTAGCTAAGCTATCTTTTAAAAAAAAGCCTTAAGTTTAAAAGTAGTAAAAGTAATCCTACTTAAAGTAAGATAAAGTAATAAGTATTATATAAAATACTAACTTACTAATAAAAGAAAAAGCTTTTTAAAAGTTGCTACTACTAAGCTTTAATTTACTAATTTAATGTACTTATGCTGTAAAAGTAGCACTAATTAAATAAAAGCTTAGGCTTTATAAACCTTTAAAGCTAGTAATAAGCATCTACTAGTATAACTATCTTTGTTCTTTAATTAGATTATATAAAATGTAGTTACTGCTTTATTTCTTTAAGTGTTTTAAAAAACTAGCAAAAGCAGCTAATAGCAGTGTAGGCAGAGATTCTAACATAAATCTATACAATGTATTATAAGTACGTGTTAATACATGCATAGATCTCTATGCTGTACAGTTTTAGCTTACTATAGCTATTAATAGACTAGATAAAGTTTAGGCTAGGAACAATATACTTTTTATAGTGTTGCTGCAGGTCACGCTTACAGCGCTCTACTGCCTTATAGTTTATTATATAATAGATGCAAAATAACTAGTCCTGTGCAATAATATAGCTATGTTAATAAAAGTGTGTATAAAGATACTTTTACTTATACTTATTAATAACACTTTTTTTTAGCTTTTAACTAATAAGTTGTTGTATAAGCTTATCTGCTTACTAGCTTTATTTAACACTTTACACTTTTTTATATAATCTAAGCTTAAATTAAAGTTATATAAGTATATATTTTTTAATTTAGAAGCTTTTATTATGCAGTACATAAAGCATATCTAAATTTTTAAGCCTAACTTTAAAAAACAGCATCTAGATCTAATTCTTAACTCTATCTTTAACCTTAGTAAAAAGGTGTTGCTTTACATTTTATATTTAGAACTGCTGCTTAATTATATAAAAAGTAATATAGACTTAAAACTTTTTAAAAAGGTAAGTAGCTATCTACATATATGTAACACCTTTATAGAAAAGCCTAAGTAGATAGAGTTAGTATAGTTTAAGGTTAATCTTAGAACGTCCTCTTACATTGCCACTATATTAGTAAGCACTTGTACAATGTAACTATTTAGAAGACGCTTACTAGGCATTATAAAATTAACATGTATAAACGTGTATAAAATAATTATAAAGTTGTAAGTAGCTAAAGGCTATAATTATGTGCAGAGTAAAGAATTTTTAAATTAGCGATTAGTTTTTTCCCTTTACTAGCTAACAGTCTGCCGTAGTTAGCGAGTAACGGGCTTTATAGTCTTCTCTAGGGAGAGGTTGGGGTGAGGTTAAGATGATTATGTGACGTGGAATGTTTCATACCCCGAGCCAATCAGTGTTCGTCAGCCAATTTGGAGATCGTTTATATTTCCCGAAGCAGACCTAATTGTGGTTGATGGGTCGGAGACAGGATAGATAAACCAATCGTAGTCTCGAGAGGCTATATGGAAATGGTGAATGTATTACAGATCAAGTACTAATTCGACAACTTCAATGAACCTGGGGGAGCAACGACGCTAGAGGACATAGCCGGATACAGATTAGCGCTTGCATGCACATGTGTGTCGACTCTTAAAGTTCGGCATCAAAAATCACTCTTTGTCAGCCCCAGACCCTCCGACAAGCTACATTCACAGGAATTCCGAAGGTGTTATCAATAGTATATCGCTTATTCCCCTCCTCAATACCAAAAACATCGCGTCGTCTAATAAGGTTAAAATAGCATCTACCATATACTCTCGCTCGGAACTCGACAAGACTTTGATATCTATGACCGGTAAATTTCAAGACCAAACTTCGAAAGATCTACGCCTTTCTCGTTATCCTCTCCCTGGCTGCACCCTGTAAAACCAACTATCAAATCCTTCTCAGCGGCTCTCTCCAATAAAAGTAAGCACTAACCCGCGACTGGGAGAACCTCGAGGACTTATTCGAAATTATTCAATGGTGCTTCATCGTCTATCTTTTGCCTAGGCATTCCCTTGGAATAGTACAGCCACACCGTACCCACGGATATGCTTCCGTAATCTCTCACTTCGTCAGCTCTGTATGCTCAGACAGGAAAGTATATGTTTGTGAGGGGATCGACGATGATTTTATTGATTGCTATTCGGATTGATTGGGCGTTGAAATCATGGCTGCGGCGATGTGCTAGGTGGCATGGTAGAATCAGTGCAGAGAATGGGAGGAATTTGAGTAGACCCTCCACGGCGCTCATTCCCTCTTTAATAAAATAAGGTTAGTTACTCTATGGTAAATCTCCAGACGATAGGAATTATTAACCCTTTCGGGGGTATCAAAGTCATTTCTTCCACTCCCTTGCTAGATTCTATCCACTTATTCACATTCCCCACCAAGGAAAACTATAGTTAGCTCTTTTCCGCCTGGGATACCACTTTGAGATGGAAAATAAGTCAGAAAGTCGTGTTCGGCGGTCAACACTTGACTGAGTCTAATGTTAGTCGGTTTATCCACTAGCTAAATGTAGATGTGAAGAGCTCACAATTCGGGAGGCCAGGCACTTAATTGATCTGCCTGGCTCCAACAATTAATATATAAAGAGAATTGTAAGTAACCAAATGGGACAATGTAGAGCCATGGCTGGTCCACCAACTTGGACAGGCTCAACTTCGTATCGACGCTTCATCAAGCCACTCCTCCAGAACTAGAGCTGTCAAAGCAGCCATTAACCACTTCGTTTGTTATTTGCCTTACCGGAGCTATTCGAGGCACCGGAGCAGAGTCAGGGAAGGCGTTCGCACAAGCTGGTGCAAGCGGGTTAATCCTCACTGTCCGGGATATATCTCGTCTGTATTAAACACGCTAGGGATGCGAAAGGCTCGCTAAACGTAGCTTCAAGATCGCTACTCTTGGGGCTGATTGTAGGTCAGAGGAGTCAGCAAAGCTACTAGCTGAGTCGGTGCAGAATGACCATGGCCACTTAGACCTTGTTAGTAATGCTGGGGTACTAAGGTATTAGTTCCAGCGACGTACTGAGAAGTAATGTTAGCATGCTACTTGTACCGATTCGTCAGCCTTCGCACAACGTGTTGATGGAATTACGAACATCCCTCCCTCCATGGGAGGAAGCCCACGGTGCCAAGAAAAACTATAGGTACTTTGACTTAACGAAACCTAAAGCTTATAAACCCGGTAATATTCATTATATTCCTGTATATCCTGCGTAATATTGCTACTTGTAGACATCTGAAACATCTTTTAGAAATTATACTTGCATTGTTACCATTATGCTAGCTTGCAGAGAGTCTTCTTTGATAGTGTAACATATTTTCTTTAATTGAAGTAGCTGTTGAGCTTGGGCTGGGTGGAGTCTTCGCAAGCGCGGGCTAACTTCAGCTCCGCAGCTTACGATTCAACCTGGCCACCCCACCAGTCAACCAACGAAGCCCCCTAAGAACCCCCCCAGAAACGCCACCTCACAAGGGTATATCTGGAGAGGGCCGGCCACCCTCTCCTGCTGACGGTAGAAAAGCACAATCAGCAACAGACTGAACACACACCCGGTGGGTCTAATCAGGAGTGCATGCCACAAACTAATGAAGTACTTTAACAATCTCGTCTCTCTTGGCCATTCAACCTTAGACTAGATATAACTACATAGCTGTAGGTGCTAAACAAAAATCCATTATTCCTTTACTAAGGCAAGCCCTTAAATGCACACTCTGTGCTTAGAGCAGCGGCTGGTTAGCGTATTTATGGCTTTCCTAAACCGTCACATCAGCTTTGTGCAATGCTAAATACCGTTAAATTTGGGAGCGCTATCTTAACTAAGATCATAGTAGAACAACATAACAATACCGACACACACTGTATTGTTAGATAACTACAGACAACTAACTACATGCTGAATTCTACCAAGCTGAATTCTACCAAGCTGAACCCTACTTACAACGTGGGGCACCTCATCTAAATGCTTATCTCCTAGTTGTGTGTAGCTGAGTTAGTTGAGAGGGATATCTGAGATATGTCGTGAACGTTTAGGAGGTGTAGGTGTACTAATGCCGGCTACACCTCTGAGACAAATACCTCCCCAGGTTCTATGGTGCACTCATCATAGTCTCCTTCCAATTTAATCTCGTCCTCTAGCTCTACCTCAATGGAGTCGTCCGACTCACCAAGGAGCTTCCTCGGCAGGTCGTATCTTTCCCACCATGCCTTCTTTGAAAGTGTCATCTTATCAACTTTGTTTCTCGCAAACCAACTCCAACGGACCTTGCGATACTGCACTGCATATATCTGCTCGCCTGGCGCCATGAACTGTTTTTGTTCGTCTTCTATACGGCCGCAAAAGCCACTGAGCTCAGGGTCCCCGACGTTGAACGGTACAACTACGCCGGATGCTGTCAGCGCTGCCGATACTGGTATCGCTAAGTTCCCGCCGGCAGAGGTTTGCCCTCCTAGTTGTTCTATAATTCGAGCGTTTACCAACGTGTGATAAGCTACAACAACATATATCTCTTCTCCTTCATCAATGGTTCTGTCGATCCAATCGCGGGTATCTTGAGCTTTGATGGCATCTCGAAACCATTGTCCAGCGTTGGTTAAGTAGTATGTCTTGGCTTGATCGGCTGTAATCCTAATTGACGCTTTGAGACGCTTCGAGAATGAGGAGGACAGGAATGTAGTAAGCTGTGATGCTACATTTTGGTGTTTAGCTGAATGGTTTATGCTGTTGTACTGTGTTTGGAGTTTCTCAGTGAAGTTGGGGCTAGCGTTGCTCGTGGGATTGTGGAAATCCTGATGAGGATCGTCAAGGCTAATAACAAAACGTCCAAGGCTTACAGCCGACAAGGGGAGGAAAAATTGCGAAAGGAGAATGCTTCTCGGCATTATAAAATAGACATCCGCTGACTAAATAATAAAGGTGGAATGAAAGACTCAATACTGGATCGATGCATATATAGTCCCTTACTGCGTTGGGTGTACTGCTTTTTGCGAGCGGTGACGTGGCCACGGGGCTTTGTCAAGCCACCATTCATCAGCTACCTTGCGTAACAACCTACTAATCTGAACGTCCAAAGAGAAATTCAAAATGCGCCGCGCGACTAATAAATAAGGCAGTTCCGTTGCCACGCTCTTCTAGCTAAGGACATTTTAAAGGCAACCCTAATTAGCTTCTTAAGCTTCTCTAGTTTTTCGAGCCTGTCTCACATACCTTCACATACTATATCCAACAGCTATGGACGGCAAGGTTGACTTCGACACGCTTCTGCTTGAAAACTTCGAGGCTATCTTAAGGGTGGTAGCCAGCGAAGATAATAACCATGAAGCAGAACTATATATGCGCTATTCTGTCTTAAAGACTAAGGTCTTCCATCGCTGGGGGCGAATGCAGGATCTCGAAGAGGCCATTGATAAGGGGAGGTATGCTGTTGCAAAGTCGCAAGAAGAAGGAGAGTTCTACGCATCAAGGCTGAACAGCCTTGGAGTCATGCTTGGATATCGATACAAGCGGATAGGAGAGATGGAGGACCTCGAAGAGGCCATCCGAGTGGCGCGCCAGGCAGTCGAAGTCACGCCTGACGACCATCCACATCTCGCAG